GGTACTTGATATTAGGTAATTTAGGCAGTATGTCCTATATTGTCCTTTTAAACTGGGTACTCATGGTAATTTTTAGCATTATTATCCCACATTCTTGTAAATTTACTTCTTAGGAGCATATGGTGTCCGCTGTTCTGATCCAGATAGATATCTAGTTTGCCTGGTACAGAATTGCTGTTAGTACTGAATGATTATATCTGCTTGGTTGGAACCTGCTGCCGCTTGGGCATCTTCCGCTGCAGCTTCATGGAGCATGACATATGTATGATAGGATGATGGAGCAGCTCTGATATTTGTTTTATTATATGTTAGTAAGACACAAATGGTGGCATGGGTACACGATCTGATAAGAGGAAGTTTCTAAAAGTTTAACTACTTGATATAACTTGAGATTATAAACATCTGCTTTCTAGCAAAGACCTCTCTGTACAAATTCTTGAGCCTGCTTGTTTGTCATCTTAGTTTGTACTCCCTCCGTCCCAATATAATTGCAACCTAGTACGGATGTGACATACCCTATGACTAGGAATCTGGATAGGCAACTGTCCAGATTCGTAATCCTAGGATATGTCACATCATTGTCTATCCAGATTCCTAGCCCTAGGATATGTCACATCAGTACTAGGTTTGCACTTATATTGGGACGGAGGGAGTATTCTTTTAGTTGATCGACTAGCGTTCTTTGTTGAATTTTCTATGAAACACTTAGCAGCATTTGCTTTTAACACCTTGAAATGTCACCAGGCATTTGCAAATGTGGCTGGACTGATATATTGCTGATGCAAACTTCCAGCAAATTTCATTTTACTTGTGCCAACAAAGTGACCTTTTGAAAATATAATTAGGTGACTGGTGTCCTTTCCCCTATATATTTAGCTATTTTGTAATAATTTTCTTCGATGATGTAGGTTGGTGATCTTGGACTTTCAAAAGTAAAATGTCAGACCCTCATCTCTGGTGGTGTGAGGGGGACTCTTCCATGGATGGCTCCAGAACTTCTGAATGGAAGTAGCAGCTTGGTCTCCGAAAAGGTCTACATATTGATTGTGTCATATTATCATTTGACCTGCTACATTCATGTCCATATTAAACTAACATTAACGTTGCCTTGGTGCCTCAGGTTGATGTGTTCTCCTTTGGGATTGTTCTCTGGGAACTCTTAACAGGAGAAGAACCATACGCAGATCTGCATTATGGTGTTATTATAGGTTGGTCTTGATTTCCCATTTCAGATTTTACATGATCCTTATCTGATACTGTCGTAGGAATTATACGTGCAATATAGATGGACAAAGATGATTTGATTGCCAAGCTTGGTGTAAAATTTTCTACTCTTGGCAGGTGGCATTGTGAGCAACACTCTACGACCAGCAGTACCTGACTCTTGTGATCCAGAGTGGAGATCACTAATGGAGCAATGTTGGTCGACAGAACCATCCGAACGGCCAACCTTTACGGAGATTGCTGGTAGGTTACGCTCCATGGCTGCATCCCATAAGGTGCAACCCTGAGGTGAACAACCTGGGATGGGATATTGTAACAGAATGGCCGGCAACAAACTTCTGGGGCATCGGTGGACAAGTTCTCTACTGCCAGATCGCGTATTTAGGAATTCAGCACTGATATAAATATGCCTTCATTTATGTCCCTAGGATCTATCTGTTCATACCTCTTCATTGTTTCATATCTTGTAATCAAAAAAAGTTACCAGCCGTGTGTCCAGAAGCATCGCAATGGACGGTCTCAGATCCATATTCTTTCATTTATACCTTTTGCTTAGAGGTGCGTTTAATAAGTTATTAGTCTAGAGTCAGTTATAGGGAGCCCAATATGTTTTCCTTTTTTCTTTTTCTCCCCCTTTTCCTGGGTAATAATTGAGTTATTTGGGAGTCAATCGGTCGGTCGGTCGGAATGTAAACTGATGTTGAAGGGTAATTAAGCTTGGTTGGTCTTTGCAAGTCTTGGAACACAGAGTGAGGTCCTTGCTTGTAATAAGATGTCTGTTTTTCTTTTTTGTGGTTTGTGAGATATACCGATTTGTTAAGTACTCTTGTAACAGTCACAAGTCATCATGTATGATGTGTTGCAGTTTTGCTGAAGATAGTTATAAGACTATTGTTGCAGAGATTTATTGCTCTCTTGCCAGAGTTTTGCCGCTGCTTCTATGCTTGAAATGAGCTGGTTTTGGATATTTCCTTTCGCGAACACGTGAAAAGATTGCACGTCAAAATATTAGAAATATTAGAAGAAAGAGCTGGTTTTGGATTCGTGGCAACAATCTCTCGTTACCTAGAATCCGCCATGGTTGTTTCTGGATTCATGGTTGCGATTTATTCGTTACCTGAATCTGCCATGGTTGTCGTCTAGTGGATCATCTGGATACTGTTTGCGCTGTGGACTTCATCTCTCTGTTGGCGCGGCACGTACAGAGGGTATAGATGACGGATTGGCCATGTGGTGACTGACGGCGACACGTGATGGCAAATTCGGTGGACGCGGCGCGCCCGTCGTGACTGAAGCGGCGGTCGATTTCGCTCCCCGAATCGGGCATGGAACGCGTATGTGCACGACGCGTGCGCCATCACGCACAACAGTTAGCCGAAAAGAATCTCCGGCTGTCATCGATCAGTGGGCTAATTGCCGATAATACCACAAACGATCTATTAACGATAAAATGATTTTTATATATTTGTTCTTAATGGTTTCAATATCAATATTGAAAAAGAACTATGATTAAAACCTTAAAATCGATTTTAAATTCAAGTTTTAAAGATCTATTCCTAAATTTTAGCATAGACATATACGCTGTAGGGTAAAACATGTGACCCCTCCAGAACACAACAAACCAAATAGGTCTCCACACTTTGCTCACCGATCTCCACGGCGACGTGGGTTGTACACTTTACCCTCCAATCTCAACGACGCCATAGTAGTAGTACTAGCAGTGAGTAGATCAGTAGGATCGGGAACGAATGGAGAGGCCGAGATCCAGTCTCGCGACTCGCAACGAAGCAGTCGTCCAATTGATCTACGTTGGTTGTTGCACTAGTTGCAATCCTCTCCCTCTTGTATTTTATCGATCTTCCCGGCAAGCCGGGATCCTGTCCAGCTAAACCGCCGCAAACACCCATCGGGGTCCCTTGTTCATGCATATATCCATGATCCATCCCAATCCCCCAGACCGATCGATCAATCGATCGATCGGATCAGCGCCGAAGCATGTGTTCTTTCATCTTTCTGCAATTGATTTGACCCCCTTTTGTTTTTCTCGGTGTACATTATGCACATAAAACTAGCGCTTTCCCTACGCATGGTTAGGAAAAATGGAGGTGCATATGCTGTATGGAAATTCATAGTACATGCCATTCCACTTCTTTTTCCCCCCTGAACCGTAGCATAAAAACATACGCTCGTATGTACACATACACACTTATCATTATAAACACACAAATGTACATCATATTAGCCATATATTTGCCGTTTACCGGTACACCACATAAATAATATATAAGTATAAATAAAAGCACTCATGTCAAAGTTTACAAAATTTCACATAATAATCCATTCCTAAATTTGTAATAACAGTGGCTAACCTGATATTTGCAATTTTATTTTATTTTGGGGGGCCAAAACAAACAAGCCTCTAAGCAAGATGACAAATTTATCGATAAAAAAACTAGTTTAGGAGAGTTCTCAATTTTAGATTACGAAATTTTAAATGAAGGTGTGAACCATGAGCTTGTTTGGTAGGAATCCAATTACTAAATATAACTCTAAGAAGAGTCTATAGTGTAGTTGTTGAGCAGCTCGAACCATCGCTCCACACTTCTAGTTTGTTTTCTCATATCACTGCAGCCTGCTCTGTTTTCTTTTGAGGTGGAGTTCAGAAACCATTTCAGGTGTGTTTACCATTGCTCCAACTGCTAAATTTAACTTTAGGAGTTAGATCTACAGTTGTGGAGCAGACTAAACCTAACTCCATCTCTCTAGTTCATTTTATGAGAGCACTCTAGTAAGCTCCACTCCCTTTTTAGGTGGATCTAAAATTGTTTGGATCTATTTGACAGAACTCCAACGATTAAATTTAACTATACGAGTTAGGTCTACTAAAGCTCTAAAAGAGATTGATCATGGGAGTTTCATTTTTACTCCCAGTCCTTTGTTTAGTAGTAGAGGTGGAAATAATGGGGAGTATGGATAAGAATTAAATTTTAAGTGATGATGCACGACTCATATTTATCTTGTCATACTTAGAAAGTATAATTATCTCCCAATTAACTACCCTACACAGTTATTGAAAAGGTGGGAGTTCACCCTTAAACTCTCCTTTCCAATCCCTTCTAAAACTCCCACATTATCCAAGCAAATAATAGACATATCACCAACAGATTACCTATAATATTTCTCCAAAAAATTGTTTATAGGTTTCCTAAACTGAAAATAGTAAGTGAAAAAACTCCTCCCTCCAACAGATAGCTTTAAATTCAATCCCCAAAGCTTAAAAGTGGGCCATTCTGTTAAACTACCAACAGTAAATTCCGTTTTTTTTTTCCTTTCACGCGTAGAAAGATCGCTATCTCCCACGCGCGGCAACGGGAGGAGAGAGGTGGGAGTGCGAGATTGTGAGCGAGTTTCGCGCCCGCATATAAACGGAGCGAGTAATCGGGAGAAGGGAACACCAAAACTCAGGTAGGAAAGTAGGGGATCTGTTATAGCTGGTTTTTAGACTAAAATTCTTCAAAATCAGTTTTGGGATTGAGATAGGTATACTGTTGGTGATCCTCGAAAATAATTCCATAACCAAACTGGCCGTAAATGGACAGGTGAGAGCTGAAACCAGCCCAAGATTCTTGGGGGCGATCGATGGGTACAACGACCAAACGGGGATTCTGGCCCACCCAAATGAGGCCCATAACAGTTTCTCTCAATTGCGACACTGGGCCTAAACGGCCCAAGAACCACTCTCTTCCGTAGTGGTTGCAAGTTGCGACCCCTAGCTAGCTCCGTCTCTCCTCTTCCGCATCGCCTCCATAATTTTCTTTCCCCTCCTCTCCTCACCTCGATCTCCTCCTCCTCCTCCTCCGCCGCACCGAGGGTTTCGCCTCCGCCTTCCACCGCTGCCGCAGAGGGGACGAACCGAGGGGCAGGAATGGCGGCGCGGCACCTCAGATCCGGCCTCCCCCTCCTCCGCGCCCACCTCTCCCAGGTCTTCCCCTCCCCCTCTTCGCACCCTTCGATTTCATTCCAGTTTAGGGGAGCCCCCCGCCCCCCCCCTTCGATTTAGATGCGTGGCGCATGAATCCCACGCTCGATCTAGGTCATCCATTTCTCGCTGGGATTTTCGGTGTTTTTTTTGTGGGGGATTTTTTTTATTTTTTTTGTTGGCTATGCGGCGCCTGCCTGGATCGCGTTGGTTGGTTGTTGTTGTTGAGATTGATGTGATTGGTTGTGATGATGCAGGAGGGCTCAAGGGGCTTCGCGTCGCAGGTGGCAAAGCCGACCGGGAAGGATATCAAGGTAACCTGGAACGGGCATCTCGTTGGATTGCTCACATTTTTTCGTGTGATGCCGATGTAGTTTTGATACTGCTAGGGAACAGGGGGGAATGTTAATAGTTATACACGTCATTGGTGAAAGCTTCTCTGGTTAGCCTGGTTCTGTGACATGAGAAAATGTGCAATTTGTTTGTACTGCTGCCTGTGGAAAATGATTCGTGTCTTTTATTTTTGTGCCGTTGTGGTGTTATGGCTATGAATCCTCTCCCTGTTAGGAAATGTGATGATGCAATACTGGTAGAGACTGTGTTTCATCGAAGGAAAATTTGCTCGCGGTATATTCAACTGGTAGATGATTTTGTATATGCATTGTTCTTGTTTTTTATTATCTCAACATGATTTCTGCCTGTTTTCGATTAGTGCTTTTCCATTTCAGTTTATGGGTTACTTTTGGCAGTTTGAGTAGTTCTTATTTTGCCCTGAGATACTCATGTTAATCTTATTTGTTGTGTTTGTTTTGCCACAATAGGTTCCAGAAGCTCTGTATGGTGGCACCGGCAACTATGCTAGTGCTCTGTTCCTTACAGCGGCCAAAGCTAACTTGCTGGACAAAGTTGAAACTGAGATTCGCGATGTTGTAGAGGCATCCAAGAAGAGTCCATTGTTTTCTCAATTCATTAAGGACTTGTCAGTGCCCAAAGAGACCAGGGTGAAGGCAATAACTGAAATTTTCGCTGAAGCTGGTTTTTCAGATGTCACAAAGAATTTCTTGGGTATACTTCTGGTCCACACATGTTATGTCTAATGAAGTTTATTGTATTTGTTTATGATAACTTTGTTGCAGTTGATAGTAAACCAACTCGTTATAGAGGTAGCTTGAGGACAAGCCCAAACCCCAAATGCATCTGATTATTTTCAGAAATTTTTATTCCAATGCCATTTTGTATATCAACGGTTTGCTACCTTCAGTTATTATAATTTCAATGTGAGCCAACAATATTTGTAGTTTTAGTTTGATCTGCTACAATAATTACAGTTTTTTATTTTGAAAGGGCTAACTATCTGATCAACGCTTTCCTAGAACCTTGTTTTTAATTCATGTACTCAGTATCATTAATAGATGACACGGAGTTCTTTTTCCATATGTACTCTTTTGGTTAGCACCTAAGGTTTTTTTTCCTTCCTGTGAAGCTGTGCTCGCCGACAATGGCAGACTGAAGCACATTGATCGCATTGCTGAGAGATTTGTTGATTTGACCATGGCACATAAGGGGGAGGTGAAGGTCCTTGTCAGGACAGTTATTGTAAGTTGATGTCTGAAGCCTTTGATCTCCTTTCTTTTTTCCTGACAGTGTCTGGTTGTTATATTATACCCTCTGATTTCAAATATATGTATTTTAACCTTTCAACGCTTTCCCAAATATAAGCCACACTAGAAATTCGAGACACTTTTCACTCCTCTTTTCCTTCTCGTTAAATAAATTGTCACATGAAAAATAACCCCTTCTTTTTTCCAATGAGGATATACCTCATGGAGATACAACATACAATACTGAGCAACTGTTGCTATCGTAATCACTCTACAAAATGTTGAAGAATCAGCTTCTAGAATTCTTTATGCTAGCTTACATCAATTGGTCAAGATATTTATGGATTTGTACGTACTGCAGCTTCTATTATAGTTCCTTGTACTGTAGTTAGCTGGTTTCTCTTGCTGACTTTCTGGTTTTCTGCTGTTAGCCACTCCCCGAAAAAGAGGAGAAGGAACTTAAGGAGACCTTGCAAGATATTCTTGGGAAGAACAAAACTATCTTGATTGAACAGAAGGTAATTCCTTGGTTCATCAGTTGCCTATAGTCTGTCAAGTGATATTCAAAGGACATGCACTCAATTATTTGTTGCCTGCAGATTGACTACAGCATCATGGGAGGGCTAGTTATTCAATTTGGGCAGAAGGTGTTTGATATGTCGATCAAGACTAGGGCGAAGCAAATGGAGATGTTCTTGAGGCAACCCCTTGATATCTAACTGCCTTTTGGATCGAAAGATGCAGTTGTTTTGCTGCTGAAGGCATCCTCATGTCTGTTACTTTGATATGGTCTTGAAATAAATCTTCGTTTACAAGAGAACAACACTCTGTTTTATCTTGTTTTGTGTGCCAGAAGCCTGCTGAACAATTTTATGTCAATTTCTTTGCTACTAAGAAAGTTATGCACCAAAATGAAGGGAAATTCTGTGAAGTTTGTAATTTTCAAGTGATTGGCATTATTCTGTTTAGTTCGTGCAGTGCCATGTTCCTTATATAATCACAGAACATGTAAAAGGCCGAAATATTTTCCTTGTCATTTTCCATGCGAGAACGGCCTTTCGATGAGACTGGAAAGTCCTGCAATAACTATTGTCCAAAATAACACACGGCTCTCTACCGATTCACATCAAAACCAACCCAAACGCTCTCTCTGTTGCTTGTGTTCTGGACTTCTCTGAGCGCAGTTCAGGAGTCTCGAGTGTGCCTCAACAGTACATGTTAAACATAAAACTGCCATTGAAGATTACCACCAACCATATTGGAAGTTTATCATGGCATATACTTGCCTTTCAAAGACCCTAATTTTCAAAGTGAACATGGGACTTTCAGACTACAGATAACCTCAATCGATAACATCACCGAAAATTCGATATTACTACAAAGATTTTGGTTGAAAACTTCTCTGAACCCAATTTAAATACAAGTCGCCCTCGGTGATGGCTACTCGCCATTCCACGCTCACAGTTGCAGTTCACACTTGCAAAATGAAAAAAAAAATCTTCTGAACAGCAATCATCAACCGGTTCGACCTCAGGATCATCACAGAAATGAAAAGGACGAGGAATCTCAATTTAAGAAAGTTCCTATCCAAATATCCAACAAAAATCTGACTGTCTGGCTATTATTAATTCAACAGGAGATGCTCGTTAAAGACAATATAGTTCTGTAATTTGTAACAACACAAGAGCCTGAGGATATAACGAGTTACAAACATGCTGCCGTTGCAGCATGGTCATCAATATACAACATTACAACAACATATGGGGATCGCAGAACACTCCCATTCCACGATTTTACAACATATGCTTCACAACACGTTATAAATACATGGTTGTACCGAGCTGTAGAGAGACAGCCAGCACGTCCCAACTACAAATGCACACTAGCCAACAGCAAACATAAAAACTACTCTCTGGTAAGTCACTATATATACGCACTATAGCTTCACATGACTAAAATTATAACATGACATAATTTCTTTCGTATAAATTAGCCCCAGGAAGCTTCTGTCCGAATCGCCATCTTGGGAGCAATAAATATACTGGCATTCTTCACAATGGATGCATTATTTACATATATATACTTCTTCTCCAACCACGTTCTACCAAGATTGCTCGGCCTTGCCATCACCTGCATTGCTTCTTTTTCTAGGCATAAACAGACAGAGACAGGAAAATGGAAACCAAAAATATGTAAAAGGAATTTCTGTTAGAAGTCCACGACACGATACCTTTTTCTCTTGCTTTTGTCTGATGAGGATGAAGCAGGATTGCTGTGCCAGTTCCGTTTACGTTGGTTGATAAACCAATTATTGATCTGTTTTAGTTGCAACCCTGTTTCCTGCACCAAGCGAGCCTTGTCCTCCTCCTATAAAGGTTAAGAAACATGAGCATCAGTGGTAGAAAAGGAAATGCAGGAAGGCCTGATAATGGTATCTGTGAGCTGACATACAGTTGGGTATGGCCATTTAGAGTGAGCCTGCCACCATGCTTTCAAAGTAGACGCTGTATCTCCTGGGAGTTTTCCAGCTCTTCGCTTTCGGAGTATCTCTTCCCTAATGTCCACAAGCTTTTCTCTGTACCCCTGGAAATTTGAAATTTCGTTTAAAGTTTATACAACAACATACAAACGACTAAAAATTCAGGCCATAATCTTACCTGTTTAAGCTCATGTTTCAGCTCTTGCCGTACACGCTCAACTAATGATCTCTCGCCCTCCGTCAGCATTAAGGGGCCAAAGCCCATACCATCTGATCCATCATTTCCATCAAACATGTTGCTCTCACTATCAACCTGATTGTCTTCGTCATCAGACATAGTTGCTCCAGAACCTTCACGAGGAGATGCCCCTGCAGTAAGAGTCACAACTGAGGATTGGCAAAACACCAGATTATTGGTCAAATTTTACTTCTGTATTCCCTTTTGCCATTAGGAGAGTAGTCCTATGTCCATCACTAAAGTTCTCCCAAACAGAACACTCATTATTTTCTGCAGGTTCAACCACAGGTATATCTCAATTCCGATTGAAGAATGTAAACTATATTTGGTAGAGTGAAGGAAGCTAGTTAAATGCTATGTGATTATGATGGTTGAAAAGGTGGAATTAGTTTGTACTTTTTTGTACCTACAAAGGAGTAAACTTTGAGGTCAAGTTTATATCGGAGAAGGAAAAAAATGGACGAAAGGTAGCACAATGGTGCACATCAGCATGAATTAAACAGAGAGAAATAATAACTTTAAGTTTCTCTTCCTAAAATCAGGAGTCCACTATTCTCATGTTGAATAATATCAACTAGATTTTTTTGTGCTACCTGTAAGGCTCTGTAAAGTTTGTTCAAGTTCCCAGCAAGCCATTACTGCTTCCATTGCATGAACACGCACATGTTGCTGTAGTTGTTCCTTGAACGAACAAAGGAGCAATACATAATGGGTCTGCAAGAAAAAAAAACATTTTTTTATTAAGTAAAAAAAATTGCCTTAGGAAGATTGTCATTTCCAAGCAAAGAAGAGTACCTGATAAACAAAATGACTTTTTAAAAAAGAGGCAACTGATCATAAACTTAGCTAACAGAAATTGTATGCAAGAAACAATATTAATTGATACCATGTTCCCTTTAGCTTATTCACCGGATTACTGAAAACGGATTATTTGCTCCATGCTTCAAAAGAAGTATTTTCTCAAAAAATCTTTCTTCTAGTATATTACTTACTTAGACCACTTGTTTTAACCTATTTGTTAAGTTTATTTATTGAAATATTTAATGTATCCCTATGACGAAGGACATAATCCACAGCAATAATACACTCAATAATCTAAATCAAACAAGGACTAGATAATGGAAGTATAACTTAGAGCTTCTTCAACAACTAGCCAACTAGGGATGCAAACAAACACCAAGGAATGAGAAATAAGTGATGAATTTTAGCATATTCAATTCAAAGGACTATATTTCAAAAACGATGGTCGGAACCATTGCTACTCCGACAAAATCAATCCAACCCTTCCAAAAGTCAAAATTTTGGTGATGTTTTTTCTACAGGGTTCCTTCTTTGTGGACCGCTCTGTTGTACACTTGTACTGTACATACTTCTGCTGCTTCTTAATGAAATGAAGCTTGAGTTTTCGAGAATTATTTTTTTCCTTCCAAATTTCACTCCTAATTCCACTAGCCAATTTCTTGTAAATACTCTCTCCTCCTTAATATAACACCAGCTTATCCTGGCTTCGGTTTCAAAAAAAAAAAGCCAATTTCATTTCCCTTTCCAGCCCCAATTTTCGATATCGCTCATCCAGAATAATATTTCACATACCAATCGTACAAGAAACTCTCACGCGAGGAGAATTTGATCGCAAAAGCGATACAGAGACACACCACGCAAACCTCATAGCTTGGCAAAAATAAGAGTAAAACGCCCTGGAGAAAGAGAGGGGGGGATTTGATTGGCGCTACTACTACTACTACTACTAATAATAATTTAGCCCTCACCATGAAGAGGTCGAGCTCCTCGCCGCCGGACGGCGCCCCTCCGGCCGCCGCGGCCGCCGCTGCGGCCGTGGCGGCGGCCAGCGGCGGGGGGCGCGCCGCAATCTGCGCGTCGATGCGGGGCAGCTGGTCGACGGGGGTGGCGACGCGGAGGCACGCGACGTGCGCCTCCAGCAGCCGCTCGTACAGCGGGTGCGCCGCGATGGCGGCCTTCTCCCGCTCCCACCCTCCTCCTCCTCCTCCCCCCACAACTCCTCCCGCCCCGACGAACCCAGGGTGGTGGTGGCCGCCCGTCTCCGCCGCCGCAGCCGCGGCGTCCATCGCCAGCGCGTGGTCCTGGTAGTGGAACGCCATCACGCGCACCGCTGCTGCTGCTGCAGCGCGCGAGGTGGAGGAGGAAGACGAAGACGAGGACGAGGACGAGGACTTGTTGTTGTAGCAGTTGGGAGGGAGGGAGGGAGTGAGTCGGGAGGCTCCTCTAACTTGTGTCACTAACATATGGGCCCTCTATTTAATGGGCCCATATATCGGTGACTCAGAGTTAGAGGGAAGTAAGTCAGAGGATCTTCTTCGGGAGTGGGAGGGGACCGTAGAGGAGCGATGGGAATAGGAGGAGCCCATTTCAGTTTTGCGCGTGCACGTGACTCATTTGCAAATCGCAGGAGTAAATTGCACCGTACTCCTCCCTCTATCAGAAAAATAAAGAAAAAAAAATCAAAAATCAAATTTTGGGGGAGGAATCTAGACTCCGTGTAAATTACTCGATCGGTTTCTTAATATAAGTTGTTTGATTTTTTTTTCTAAGTTATAAACTTCATTAAGTTTGCTTAAATTTGTTGAAGGATTTAACAATATCTAAAATGTAAATTTAGTTTTGTTAAATTAACATTGAATATAGTTTGATAATATATTTGTTTTGTGTTGAAAATGCTACTATATTTTTTCTATATATTTGATCAAATATAAAAAAGTTTGACAAAAAAAAAAAGTCAAGCGACATATGAGTTGTAGTTCGTTTTATTAGCGTTACTAGTACTACTTAGTTGTGCCTAGAAATTGAAAAAATCCTTTATTTCGAGTATAGGATCAGGCGTGCACACACCACACTCACACGTATTTACGGGGATATGTTCTAGTAGCTCATGCTTGAACGGGATTGGAACTATTACCCCACGGAGTGAAGGTGTGCATTAGACGCTCACAGCGCGGGCACCCACCTTCACGAAGTCACATATTACATCCTACTCTCCTATAAGTACTCACCATTCTCGTAAAAAATCAACTAGTATTAGATACGACCTAGTACTACAAATTTGGATTTATTTATGTCCGTACTAGAATGTATCACATTCAGTCCTATATTCGCTTTTTTTTGGACGGAGAGAGTACATTTGAATAGCTGGACTGGGATATCCTGGTATTGATGAAGTTACCATGAATGTTTTGTTATCCTCTACCACTGAAAGAATAATTAATAGTTAATACGAGCACAATCTGATTAGACATATTCCAACCTAAAAATCTAATCAGTTTAACTATGCTTACTTCGCTGGTATGCATTTTATGTAGTACTCCTAAGAGATTTTATGGTAAAACTAAGACGGTTTCAAAATAAATTCGCGTGCACGGTGTACGTGATTTCTCCAAAATTTATTTCGGCGCTGTAAGGACTTTGCAACGGTGTTATTTTGAGAAAATAAATAAATATTGGAATTGCACTTATTCATATAAAAATTATAAACTATCGTACCCTCTGCAGTGACTTTGAACGTGAAGGTGGTTTCTATAGTAAAATCTCTCACATCAGCGAAGGACGCATCATTTTCTCAATAAATAATACAGAGAATGAACTGTATAGTACGACGATGATGATTCCCAATTAAGCGCTGAAATTTCCAGTTAACCAACCGATTGATGATTCATGGTTGCTGGGCGTTAGGGCACTACGGTATCATCAGACTTATTTTATTTCCTTCTCAAACTTAATAGTGGCGTCCACATCTCACAAACACAGCTCTTCAGTATATAGATCAGAGATGTGCCTGAACACCTGCACAAATTAACCCAAGCTCCAACAGCTTGTGTTTTCTTCTTTGAAAAATAACAGCTTATGATTTCAAGATTATTAAACATGTGTAAACACTGGGGCAAGATATGTTGATATATGATCTGTTGAGCCACAGTTGATAAGACTGAAAAGAAGATAAACAAAGCAACTAAAATTATGAATATAACCCTTATACATGTACAGTATTATTTATGCCATAAAAGTTGAGGCTAGGAAATATACCATGATAATAAAATTCAAAATCAACTGTAAAATTAAATTCAAAATTTAATATTTGGATGTGACTAATAAACCAACAATCAGATGATGAAAACAATAGCTCTAAGTTTTTTTTCGATGTGACTAATAAACCAACAAACAATTTTTCGGGACAAAACCTAAGGCTGAAAAATATGGTAAGACGAGAAAACTCAAAATCAGCTTTAAAACCAAAATCACAATTTAAATTTTAGATGTGGCTAACAAGTACTAATAGACAATAATACTATCTCCGTTTTTAATAGATGACGCTGTTGACTTTTTATCACATGTTTGACCATTCGTCTTATTCAAAAAATTTACGTAATTATAATTTATTTTGTTATGAGTTGTTTTATTACTTATAGTACTTTAAATGTGATTTATATCTTATACATTTGCATAAAATTTTTGAATAAAATGAATGGTCAAATATGTGAGAAAAAGTCAACGGCATTATCTATTATAAAACGGAGGGAATAAGAACTAACAAACTTTTCATACAGTGGACTTGTCCACTTTTGTTTCTTTTAACAAGTTGGTCTGAATCTTTGCCGCTATCTACTTGAGGGTAAAAAGCACAGTGGATGGCAGTGGGAATGGAAATGTGATATTTTCCGTGACCGGAAGGAAAAAGCAGGGACAGCGACGAGGAACGAAAGATGGACCACGCGAGTGGGCCCCACCTCTCGCACAATAAACGCCCTGCCTGTCCAATAGGACATGGACGCGTCACCGCCGATTTCTGTGGAGATCGCCATGCCATGATGCTTAGGACATCCACAATGTACTACAGAAGTGGTCTATAGGGAATAAACTATTTTATTCAGCCACTTAGTAACATTATGCAACTAGTCCATATAAAGAAAATAGCAAAAGGTATCCATATGCATATGGACTACCCATATGACATAAATAATATTATCTATCTCTACTTCTCTCTCTTCTCCTAATATTACATTGTATCCATATACATTGTGAGGATTGCTATAGTTAAAGTTTATTTATATGGGTCCCATCTATATAGACCACTTTTGCCATATACATTGGTGATGTCCTTAATGATGAGCCATTTGGCCGGATTTTATAATTAAGTATATGTCGTATATAGGGGTGGATTTGCAAATATACCGATAAGAACTAGTACTCCCTCCGTCACGTTAATGTGCAGCCATAATTTTTCGTGCACAGTTTCGACCGCCTGTCTTATTTAAATTTTTTTTAAAAAAATTTAAAACTTAAGTCACGTATAAAATACTATTCATATTTTATCATCTCATAACAACAAAAATGCTAAGTTTATTTTTTTTTAAATAAGATAGACGATCAAAGTTGGGCATAGAAATTTATGGTTGCACTTAAAATGGGACGGAGGGGGTATACCGTAACAGTTGGTAGCGGAAGACTTTTGATTTGCAAACATGCAGAGAAAACATATGATTCGGGTGCCTTGTCACTTGAAATCCTATGGATATAAAAATACATGAAAATAATAGGATCTAGATGGAGCGAGGGAATATATATGAATATAAGAAAAAAAGAGATTACATAAAGGATTTTCCCTCTAAAAGATTGTATTGATTTATGAAACCTAAGAATTTTCAAATAAATTTGAGAGAGACATTCCTTTGTTCAAAGGACCATAAAAAAGTTCTTCGAATCCAATCACAAAATTACTTTGTTTCAAATGAGCCTAAGGGTACACTATCAGTAGATTACAATCTTAGCAAATAAAATTTACTATAGGACACCTACACTTTGTGATCTTCACTTATGATATCGTAAGAACGTGACACTATTATTGGAAAAAACAAATCTAATAATTAGTTACGAGACAACGAAGCCATTATTTTTATTATATCTAGTGTGAATTTCACACTGTGAAAGGAGCGGCACATTGTTACTAAATTAGAATCTACCCCTCCATTTCACATTGGAAGTCATTTTAGTTTTTTTCATAAGTTATAAATTTCTAACTTCGATCGAGTTTAATGAAGAATTTTTTTATTAAACACACCTTACAAATTTCTAACTTGATAGTGTATTTATTTGTTATTGTAGATGTCACTGTATTTTTTCTCTAAACTCAGTCGTAGCTAAAGAAGTTTAAGTTATGACAACTAGAATGATTTGCAGCATGCATGGAGTGGAACGAAGGGAGTATGGATTATCATGGGTACAATTCCAAGCATATTTTTAAAGAAAAACCATCTTTATCAGTATTTCGGGCATGTACTTTTTTTAAACAAATTTCACGAACGCCTAAAGCTTCCATGTTAATACCATTTAGGCTTTAGGCTGTGTTCGCTATTCCCGGTTGGGAACTTGGAACAGTCTGCACAGAAAACGGAGCGGTCCATTAACACGTGCTTAATTAAGTATTAGCTATTTTTTTTAAAAAGGATTAGTTTGATTGTTTTAAGCAACTTTCATATAGAATTTTTTTTGCAAAAAAAACTTACTCCCTCCATCCCTTAATATAAGGGACATTTTGCTTGCACTGTTTAACCATTCGTCTTATTCGAAAAATTTTAGAATTATTATTTATTTTTTTGACTTATTTTATTGTCTAAAGTACTTTAAGCACAACTTTTTATTTTTTATATTTGCACAATTTTTTTGAATAAGACGAGTGATCAAACAGTGCAAACAAAATGTCAAAATCTCTTATATTAGGGGGTCGGAGAGAGTACCGTTTAACAATTAAAAAAGCGTGTACGCGGAAAACGGGAGAGAGGGGTTGGGAGGGGATTAGTATACTTGGACTGAAATGCCAATCAGCCTAGGCGGGGTGTAAATGGGCCGGACCATGAATCTGTATCCCGTCGCTTACATGGCCCACATAACATGCATGCCTTCTTCATAGGCCTGGTGTGCTATGACGGCCTTAAGTTGTTCCCTTTTTCGTTTGGAATATAAGTTCACTTTAGATCTCTCAATTTATCGCCGAATCTGAAATCAGTCCCTGCATCGCAATACCAGATATAATGTGTTTCTTAACTCTTAAAACCAATGTGCAAACAAGATCTTAAGGCCATTTGGACGGTGGTTTCAGCTGATGTGACACTTAAAGTAAGAAAAATATCGTGGGACCACATCTAACTACTAGGGCTGTTAAAAAAAGCTCGAGGCTCGCGAGCTGCTCGAGCTCGACTCGTCCTATGCTCGATTTGAGCTCGGCTCGAGCTCCAAACGAGCCGAGCCTGAGCCTGTCCCAAAGCTCGCGAGCTTTGTCGAGCCGAGCTCGAGCTTCTAATAAGCCTAGTAATATATGATTTTTTATTGCTATTTAATAAATTGGTAGATGAAATATGTTATTTGTATGCCTTGTATTGGCATCATATATTTATTTTATTCCTTTTCCTCTTCTACTAATATGATAAACCATAAATTAATTATTTTTAAAAGAATATTCTTTAAAATATACATTGTTCTAATTAAAAATCAAGCTCGGTAGTCGAGCTCGAGCTTGATCTAGCTCGAACCGAGCCTGTTTAAAAGCTCGAACATTTTATAGGCTCGGCTCTAGCTTGTATTGAGCTCGAGCCTAGGCAAGCGAGCTCGCTCAAGCTCGGCTCGTTGACAGCCCTACTAACCACCCCTTCTCTTTCCCTTTCTTCTCCCTCCTGGTTTTACCTTTCTTCTCACCGCACGAACGACGGATAGGGTCCAAGTGGGCGTTCGTGCGATGAGAAGAAAGGGAAGACCAGAAGAGAGAAGAAAGGGGAAAGAGAAGGGGTGCTTACATGTTGCCTCACGGATTTTTTTTCTGACTTTAAGTGCCACGTCAACACCACGTAGTTGTCACGTCAGCTGAAACCATCATCAAAACCATCTTCGGATCGTATTTGCACTGGTTTTAGAAGTTGAGGGACACATTCTATTTGGTATTGCGTTGCAGGGATGAATTGCAAACTCGACGGCAAATGAGGGATGTACAGTAAACTTGTTCATTTCCATTTTTGGCCTTCACCCGGTTGAGTGGATATGGGCCTTGGCTCGTTTTTCTTTTTGTCTTTTTGAGAGTGATGCAGTAAGCTCACAGTTCACTTGACCGTCAGTAGCCAGGATATGGATATGGAGGCTACATCGGAGATTTGCCTTAATCAACATCATTTTTTTTCTTTCCTTTTAGCGCAAATACAAGTTTTCCTCTTTTTTCCCCCTCCTACTATATTAGATCAAGCGACACGTTCACATCTGCAGTTGGAATCAGTGAACAGTTGAATTCAACGTTCACAATGATTTGCACCTGACCATGCTCTTTTTTTCTTGGAAAAGAAAGTATAACTTTAACTAAGAGTGTGTTTAGTTCACGCTAAAATTGAAATTTTGGTTGAAATTGGAACGATGTGACAGAAAAGTTAAAAGTTTGTGTGTGTAGAAAAGTTTTGATGTGATAGAAAAGTTGGAAGTTTGAAAAAAAAATTTAGAACTAAACTCGGCCTAACTAAAAATATTGTGGATTAAAATTTGGAGTGTAGTTATGCACTTATCACCAATACACCAATGGTGAAACCGTGCTCATATAAAATAATAATAATATATTTCAGTCTAAAATATAATTATTTTTAGCCATATATCTGGGCAAACACTTATCTACTTCGTCCCAAAATACACTCCTCTAGTTTAGGAGAGACAAACACTTATCTACTCACTCCCTGCACTTCCTTTAGGATGAATGGAGTAGTGTCTCAGGAGTGCTAGGGACATTTCGAGTGCACTTACTTTAGGATGAATGGAGTAGTGCTAGGGACATTTCCGAGAGTACCATGAGCTGAGCTGTGCAGCTAATGTGACAGATGCAACCCGTTTTGTAATCAGCCGTGAACAAGACAGTAGGACTCTACAAACAGCCAAAGATTCACACCAACATTGAACAGAATAAACAAAAGAACATTGAGATAGTTCTTCCCTAACTTACAGTGCTTAGATGAACAACCAAGCTACACTGTCCGGAGCTTGTACTACTAAAGTAAAATCTTCCCTCTGCCTCATCGACACACAAGGCCAGGGTAAATAAAAACTACTATAACTCTATCAGACAAAGCAAGGTAAACCGATCCTCCTTTCTGCTCCTAAAATGGCATTAGTAAGATTGGAGGATCATATGACACTGGTGCTAAACTCTAGTAAATCTGAACAACTTATCAAACAAGCATAAGGTATGGTCCTTAATTATCTCCTTTAGCTTCATCTTGAGTGAGCGAGCGATCAGAGCCCCTTGTAGCCCAGCTTCCTCTATATACAATTAAAATTCTTTTGTCTGGTTAGCGACGCCGCGGTAATAATCTGGAGCCGTTCATGCATCAAGGAGCTGATCCATCAGCAGCCATGTCCTCCACTGGGAGGTTGAGGTCAGGCAGCACGAAGCCGTTTTGAGATTCCTGCTTGGCTGCGGGCTCATCAGGCTGCGGCCTTGCTTGCTGCCCCTCGGATTTCGTTCCGTTTCGTTTGCTTGATTTCTCTAACCTTGTCTGCAAAATAGAGGAAAAGATTGTTATTATACATTTCAGAAAAAAAAGGTTTTATGAAACATAATTTCAGATGACTGCAGAAGGCAAATCTCTTATGAATCCATGAGCCCAACAGAGTAGACTTGGAAAGGAAATTTGGGTTGTAGTCACAATCTACCTAGCGTAGTTCTTATATTTTGGTAAAAGAGACATCTCTGTGGAGGTGAAATGGGAGGCATAAGAGAAAATGGACAATGAACAACCACCATGAGTCCATGACCAAGCATAAACAACCTGAAACAGGACTAAGAAGATCCAAAATGTTGGCCATTACCATGGCTGGACCTAGCTAGATGTGCTTTATGCCAGAGGAGACGAAAGACACACGGGAGAGAGAGAAAACATGCATGGACCACTCAGCCACCACGAGGCTCTAGAGATGACACTGCACAACAACGGTGCAGTACAGGTTAACCGGACCAAATGAAATGGGGAGAGCTTTGCCCAACCATTCTGGCTGGTTAGTACACTGTCTGTATTTTTAATGTGATTGTGGAGCACAGAACCAGTGCAGTGGCAGTGTGGCACGCAAGAACTAAGGGCATTAAAGAAGGCCACGGGATTACCATGTCCAGGATCCGGGTTGGTGTGCATAGATTAAGGTCATGGCCTGGCAACATGGCGTTCTTTATTGGGGGAAAGATTCCAGACATGTACGGCTGGTTGAAAACGAAGCATGCATGAACAGTCAGTAGAACACCTTGTAACTGCATCAATTGCGCAGACAAAGTGCAGTAGCTGAACTGCATCTATCACCAACTCTACCTTGCCAAATGCCAAAGGGTTTTTTTGGGGGACGTCACTTTCCTAGCCCTTCCAAACGTGCAAGCAGCTTGATGGGTGAAGAGGTGGTTGAGAACTTGAGATTATTGAGATGGATAAACAGGATAAGAATTCGAGCTCCTCCCACTTGCTTGCACTTCATCCCGAATGCGAAAGTCAAGAAGGCAATCAACTAAAATCCTCACTGACACTCCTATACCTTTACCGTAAAATTGACAGCTCGGCTACCACCTCACAGTGGCAAACTATTGTTATAAGTTACTAACTATATATAGTACACGAACTTGTCACTAACCATGACTCTTGAGATGCAGTACTAGTAGAAGGTACAAACAATATTGTATTAGTAGAAGCTAACCGGAGCTTCCATACATCGAGATAGGAGGAGCTAAGCAGCGCATGTGTTGAGACAGCTCCAGAAGCAAGCAGCGGCCACATGCAGGCTCCACCCAGCCTAACTGACAAAGAGCTTCCTATAAGACTAGAAAAATCCAACTTACCCTAAATTAACACGACAGACGCTGAGACGCATGGCCAAGTCCGGACGATCCACGGTTCAGTTTCAGATAAGATAACGAACGTCTATCGCCACCTCCAGGTCCCATACCGTGTGACCATTTGGCTAAGGTGTCACTCTCCTCAGAATGACACCCTTTCACAACACGACACGCGTCCTGCGGACTAACAATAGCCCTAGTATTTACTTCTCTCGCCCCAAAATAAAAAAATCTAGTCTGATCTGTCCAGTATAGGATGTGTCATTTATATCCCGTACTATATTTCTTTCACTGGTCCTTGGCTACTTGCCACTACCGTGGTACTACCACTATCTTCTAAGCAGCTCAAGAGAAGAGAGATACTGCAAGTGTGCCAGTGATCCTGTCCGGCACTCCGGCCACACATGCAGTGACACCGCACCTTTCACCGCGCAAAACAAATACGTGCTCATGCGGCAAAGCTAACCCCGGGCAGTTCGTGTATGGTCAAAAAAAGAAAGCATGGAAATCGACATCTAAACCTGCGAAAGGCTTATCATCAGCACCGGTTGTCATCCGTTTTCAAAGGACAAACGGTGGTTGAGAGGGATGTGGAGTGAAGATCGCCACCAAACCAAACCAAGCCACACACATAGCACTCTTCTCCTAGGAAGCCAGGAAGAGCCTAGGACGACGAAGTAAAGCACACACCAAGGAAGAGAGAGAAAATATCGAAGGACAGCATGCATTCACAATGCCAGGGGACCACTAGTTCTCCATTGGGAGGCTCAGGGGAACTCTACTTTTAGCAAGTTGGAAAGTTCTATCACTTATGCTTTAAGCTATACCAACTGATCAAACATGCAGAATTTTTATTTGGGTTTTATGATGATTGCGCACTCAGCGCCCCAACCTGGAAGCGATTGCACGCCACATGTGCACAAAAGAGAAAGAGGAGAAGATTTGGTTAGATAGCAGCATATGCCACTGACCTCTAGCTTGCAGTTTTCCTTGGACAACGCCGTGCAAGCTCTCTGCAACGCCACCATCTCCTGTTTTCGGACGAGAATATAAACAAGAAACGGATAAGAATTCGAGCTAAATTAACAGCATAATCCAAGTGAGAAGTGAAAATCACGTAAAGGGGAAAGAAGAACTAATCAACCTCGCGAAGGCCATCGTTCTCCACCGTCAGCGACCGCACCAGCTGCTGAATCTCCGGCAGCCTCTGCACACCATACCGACAAGAAAACCAAGTTTAGGCCAAATCAAGCCGTAATAAAAGCCAAGAAACAAACGCGATCCTTCTTTTTCTACTACTGCCATCAAAATTCGATCTCGTTTCGTCACAGGACCATCTGGTGATGATGAGCGTGGATCTTTTCGGGCAGGCAGCCTTTGTCCTTAGGATACCACTTTTGCCTCCCTCACCACGCTCTCTTTCCGGTGGCAGTGGCCGCACCAGCTGCCGCTTTATTCTAGACTGGGTGACCGACTCCGCAACTAGAAAACATTTTTTTAAAAAGAAAAACTCCGGCCATTTGAACAGCCTACCATCTCCTGCACGCGACTGGCTGAGTCACTGACTCTACTGCTCTGAGACTACTGTGTAGGCCAAAGACTTTCTTTTGCCGGACCTGTGCCGGACCTGTGCAATCGCGCAAATGATGGGGGTGTACTGCTAGTAGTAAGCTGTAACTTGGGAGTACTCGTAGTAACTTCATTCATCAAAGCCCAGACCCAAAGCTGCTGCTCTATCTATCTACCGTGCTTTTACTGCAGAAAAATGCAAAGGTGAAACAAAACAAAACCTGACTGCTTTCTTGTACCACTCGTCACTAAACAAAATGCGCTTTTCCTGTGCTAAGTGCCGGGTCATATGTGTGACACTGAGTGAGTGACTGCAGTAGCTTACCATCTTCTTCCGTGGTCGCTGTCCGGCGGGCCGGGGAGGCGGGGTCGGTAGGATCAGCTGGCGCCGTCCGGCAGGGCCCACCTGTAAGCGAGAGAAGAGCACGCACGCCATTAGTTATACAGTTATACTACTACTACTAGCACTCATCATCACACACCCAGCGAATACTGTACTGGAAGTAGCTAGTAACGCGCTGCTGGTAGGATCAAACAACACAACACGGGCCACTAGAGCCAACCAACTACAGTCCAACCAACGCTGCTGCTGCTGCTGCATTAAGGAGGCGACCGTAGAAAAAGAAAGCAACAGGCAACGCATGTTCCACCCAAAAGAATATTGTTTTCCAGGTGGTAGGAAGGGAATTAGATGAGAGAGTCTAGCTTAGCTTAAGCTTGGCTCTAATGGGGGAAAACATCACCTAACTAACTCCTACCAAGATCCCACAAAACTGCCCCTCATTGTTGCCCTACCCGCATGAAGCACATTTCGACATGATAGGAGAGATCAACAACACGCACGCACAAACAAACAAACTGCTCATCTTGCCATCTTATCCACGATTAATTAACCAACGGTGCGTGTGCTCCTAATTTCTGCACCTATTGTCCAGTAATGGAAGCATGGGCTCTCACCTCACCTGTACATGACGATGACAGGTGGGCCCCGCACGAGGTTCCTTCCCTCGCAGGGAAAAAGAATAAAGAAATAAGCCCATATGAAATTCAGTTTACTCACTTAAAATTGAGTATCCGTTTGCCTCCTTTTCCCGCTAGGATCGGAAATCCCACCACAGTGTGAGGTGGGGCCCATCCCACCAGGACACGTCCGCGAGCAAAGAGAGAGAAAAGAACCTGAAACGCCACGCGCCCACGTGGCGCCAGCCAAGTGGCCACGACGTGTTTCGCATTCGCATTCGCACACCCACGCATGCATGCGTGTCCCGCGCCGCGCCCACACGGCGCGCGCGAGGCGGCCAATGGGCAGCCGCCACGTGGCGGCGCCACCCCACCCCTCTCTCTTTCTCTTCCAACGGAGAGCGCCGCGTCGGTTTGACTCCTCACTTCCCACGGCAACGAACGCGATAGAGGAGGTCAGGTCCAGGATAAGGGCGGGCGAAATGACCGGATTGCCCCCGGAAGTTAGGCTCGAGGCGAATGGGCAGATTGGGCAAAAGCGGTAAGCCGCGGCTCGTGGTTGGAGACTTGGGAGTGGGAGCCGAACCGGAACCCACCTACCCTTGTGAATTGCCGCGGCTGCCCCCCTCCGCAAGGTAGGAGTCAACCGCACCAAACAGACACGCTATGACATGGTAGTACAAATCCACCCCAAAAGAAAAAAAATTCCCCGAATTCAAAGTGTGAACTGTACAAGCACCCGTAGAGTCATAGTGCTACTGGTACAACGCAGAGCTCGAGAGTAGCAGTAGTAGCACGGAGGTGGAGATCCCGAAATTGTTCGGAGAAGAAGAGGACGAGGAGATCTGCGAGGTGGGTGAAGTACTAATAGCCATGGAGTTTTTACCGAAATGACCTGGGTGAAAAGGTTGGAGGTGAAAGAATGGGTAGGCAGCGAAGCTGCGAAGGTGGGATTAAGAAAAAAGGTCACGCGAACGAAAAGCCGGTGGGACTAGTGGGAGAGAGAGGAAAAGCGATGTTTCATCGAGAAGTCATCCATCCATCATCCTCCTCTCGTTGCTGACACGGAGGGGTAGTTTCGTCAAAAAAAACCCAGACGAGGAACGGAAAGCGAAGCAGCCCAACCGCGAGCGCGAGCTGTGCGGGGGAAGGAACAAACAGGAGAGAGAGATAGGGATGCACGCGCGCGCGGCTGGGAGTACGTACCTTGGCCGGAGAAGGGGTGGGCGCGGCCGTGGGCGTAGTCGCCGCCGCCGCCGTCACCACCGGCGGCGGTGGTGGCGGTGGAGAGCAGAAGGCCCCGTCCTCGCCGCCGCTCGTCGACGCGGCGGAGCCGGAGCCGGAGCCGGAGCCGCCGCTGTAGTCGAGGGGAGACGCCGGGCTACCCCTGGCCCACCTCCCCTTGGTCGCCGCCGACCCCGACCCCGACGGCGAGCGGCGCCGCGACGACCGCGACCGCTTCCCCCGTGCCACCGTCGGCCACGCCAGCTCCTCCTCCTCCTCCTCCACCACCACCTCCTTCCCCTTCGCGGCAGCCGTCCCCCACGGCGGCGTCCACCCGGCGAGGTCGGCCCCGCGGAGCGAGCAGATGATGTCCGCCGCCGCGGCCACCGCGCACGCCTCAGCGTCGGCCGCGGTCATGGGAGCAGCTTCCCTTCGACGAGTCGAGTCGAGACGAACCCTAGAGAAGAAGCCGCCAAAGCGGAGGAGGCGTGGAAGCGAGAGGGAGATGTGGAGAGAGAGAGAGGAGGAAGGCGAGGGAGAGATGTGGGAATGGTGGGGGAGGAGCGAGGAGGAAATGAGGGGGGCGTGGAGGCGAACCGAGCCCACGGCGTGGCGTCCGGGTTTTTAAACGCGCGGAATAAAAGCCCACATATGGCCAATAAAATAATCCATTCCCACCACTAGTACTACTCACCACCACCTGTACATGGCACACGACGCGCCGCGAGACCCTTCCTTCCTCTCCCATCCCACCCCCACTTACACGTGGGGCCCACCAGCCGGGCCCCATACGTCAGTGACCGGGTACCCCGCGTGCGTGGGTGGTGGCGGGACGCCAAACCTTGGACGCAGTGGGGCCCAGTGAACCCTTTCCGCCCTTTCGCGCACTGTGCCGGATAGGAAAGGACGTTTCTATCCTTTAGTGGGTCCCATCTGTCGGTGAGTGGAGGTGCAGGGGTCAGTTTGGTAAAAGTGAGGCGTAGTACGCAAGGTAAGGTGGCAGTAGCCTTGGCTGGGGTTTCCGTGTGGTGACGGGTGTGTGCTATAAAAGCGGCTGCCGGTGGCGGCGAAAAAAAAAAAAGAAAAATGCCACTGGATTTGTTTCCCCATTTTTTCTTTGTTTCGAAAAAAAAATCGTTTTCCGGAGACGTGCGGCGAGTCGGGTTTTTGTTCGTGTCAAGATTTTATTTTTCTCTTTCTCTTGGATATAATAACTGCTTCTGTTCCTGTCGACTTCGGTACGGTAGAGACCAACCAGTGACCGGTTGCTTGTGCATCCATCTCGCTGGTTTTGGGACTGGAACGAATACAACGAAAATCATGAGGTGAGTGGTGTTGTGGATCATGCTGGAGTACAGTTGGATGCAGATAAGATAAGACGCTCTGTTTTCATGTGGGATTTCGGCTGATTAAACGTGTGTGTTTGTTGCTACTCCTATGTATTTTTTGTGGAGTTTATAGCTATAAACCATTCCGCCCATCCTAAAATATAACTATATAAGCACTTCAAAAAATTTACATACTTTTTTACATTAGTTAAAAGGAGAGGTGAAATTAAATGATGTATGGTTGTGATTGGTTTTAATGAATAAGTAGGTAAAGAAATTAAATAAGATATAGTTGCGAATGTCAACGAGTAGATGGGGAAGTTGTCATATTTTGAAACAAAATTTGAATGATAATATGTTGAGACAAAGATAGTAACACAATACTGTTAGACAAACTAGCAATTATTAACTTCGTTATGAAATATAAGGTATTTTGGCTATCTATTTGTATTGCCAAAATCCTTTATGCCGTGGGACAGATAGATGTGATATAGGATTCATGACTATGAGAAACGCCCAGGGGTCTTCCGTCTAGCTCCAAAAGGTGGTGGGCTAGACGACCTGGATTCGAAGCCTCACTCCTTCTAATTATTTGATATTAGATATTTTCCTAATATTCGCGTTTTTTTTGATTCATGAATATAATTCACCAAAGTTTCATGCTTACAATACTATTTGATGCAGTAATTTGTCATCTTTTAAGCATATATATATTTTTAAAAAAGACGAGTAGTCAATGTTTGAAAATAAAAGGCTTCCCTGACAATTACTCCCACTATTCCCAAATACATGTCACGGTTGGGCACCACGATTTTAAGCTTAACCACCAATGTTTTAAACTAATTAAACTACGATTAAGGAAAGCTTAAAACTCATGTTTAGAATGCAACACTTCGATGATACCATGTCTTTCAAGTATTTATAATTTCTTGAACAAAATGGCAAGTGATAAAATCTAAATACGAACAATGATAAATACTTGAAAACGGACCGAATATTTAAAAACGGGTGGCCTATCATACAGTACGTGTGGTACATACGATTTGAGCGGCTTCTTCTCCAGTTCTCGATTTTTAGCTTTTTGATACTTTCTACTACTAGTAGTACTAAGTACTATAGCTTGGTGATGTACCCCACTGTGCATGCCGTGTTGTCGTGACAGTGCTAGTGTGTGGTGTCCAGCACTGCAGAGCGGTCTCGACGCGACTCTCGCGTATGTACGTGGAGGGTATTCTCCCCGCACAGCTAACTCCGGATAGTTGCCGGTCGAAGCGACTGTTATTATGGTTCAGGACTTGCCGTTTGCCCTGAAATTAGGCGTGTGGAGCTGTATTTTTTTTAAAAAAAAATTGATCATGTTTGTACAGTATTAGAGTATCTTCAGCGATAATTTCTATTTTAAAACTCCTATAATTTAAATAGGGCTGCTCTCATTTCTTCGGTCCAAACAATGTCCTCAACTTGTGCACACTACTGGCTGCAGGCGGCGGCGGCCGTGGACTCGTTTGAGATGTATAATTTCTTTTTTTGAGAATTTATGATTCAGTGTATGGATTCAATCTGAGATATATTTGATTTGTGCTATATTTTTAGGATTTATGATGTGAATATATGATTTGAGATGTTATGCTTTGATTTGAGGATTTGGGGTTTGATTGGGATATGCATCCCATCCGATTTGGGAGAAAATTGAAGGAAAAATCATCTAGCAAAAAACAATGAAAAAAGAAAAGAAAAGGTGGCAACCGAGATTGCCGTTGTTTTCCTCTTTAGTCCCGGTTGGAGTTACCAACCGGATCTTTAGTCCCGGTTATTTCACCCGGGACTAAAGATACCAACCGGGACAACAGTAGGTTCCCAACCGGTGACAAAGATGGGTTCCCAACAGTGGCAGTAGTCTCCATTTATTAGCCCCTATTTATTTTCTCATTTATTTCAATATACACTCTATATTTATGATTAGTTTAGCCCACAACAATTCAAAAATAAATATTTCTAATTCATATAATTCAACAGTATTTAAATTCACAATTTAAATTCAAATTCAAAATTTAATGTTTAATGTAGTGCATAATCAAGATTATACTATTTAACAGATCAAAGCATTCACCAAGATTCTGGACTAAACATGAAGTCCGATCGAAAACTAAACAAAAAGAATACAACCGTATCACTGAACCGCGGTGAACTGCTTATACCGAGAGCCTGTTCAGCATAGCTCCAGCTCTAGCTCCACCTAAAATAGGAGCGGAGCTAGGTGTAGCTCTCACAAAATAAACTAAAGAAATGGAATTGGGTTTAGATAGCTCCACAACTCCACTTCAGATAAAATTTAGGAGTTGGAGCTCTATCGAACATGCCCTAAAACACCACAACTAAAATTAAACCGTAGTGATCCTACTGTCCTACACTCCTACTGGTAGAAGACACATTAAACAGCAGAGTGAGAATTACTAACACATAGAGGCTCCAAATGCCAAATTTTTTAACCGTGGAAATGGCATATCCTAAATAACAAATAACTTATAGAATCCAACGTATTCCATCAAAATAAAAAAAAAGCATCCGAGAGCTCAAACTTCACCATTACTATCATCACCACCATCAAACTCTCGCTTGGTGGGATATTACACCGTTCCTTCCAATTGTGGATGGGGCCGGGGCTGGAGTTGGCCCCTAAGACTTATTAGGGATTTTGGGTGAGTGATTTGGGTGCCTCCCTTATGTCTAATAGGGATCTTGTTGGATTTGAAGTTTTAACCTCTACCCTAAAAGAATTGTTTGGGGCCGTGTTTAGGGTCTCTACCATTAAAAAGAATAAAAACAATGCAACTAAAAGTATTCCTAGCATATATATCTCTTTGTCCTATATCTCTAACTACGAACTTAGACAAGTATATCTAGGTTCATAGTTAGGATTTGTCTTTTTAGGACAAAATAGTACTCCCTCCGTCCTAAATATAACAATTTTTAGCCCTCAGGATTTATCCCAAAATATAACTTCTTCACCAACATTCTCTTCACAACCAATCATAACCCTCCACCATTCACTTTTCTCACATATCTCCAGTATCACAACCCTCCACCACTTACTTCTACCTACTTTATTAGTAACCGTGTTCAATCTTAAAACTTCTTATATTATGTGAAGGATGGAGTAACTTTTATACTGAGTGGTTTAAAAGCTAAGATTGAATATAGAAAGCAATAATAAAAACATCTGGATTAATTTAAAATTTTTATGGCCACCGAGAGATCGTCGTGTACACAATCAACGACCACTTCACAATCTCGGAATATTATTGTACAAGACAATGTTTGAAAATTGTGGGAGCCATGCATCATGACCACGCATGTGCTTTTGTGTACGTACGTGCATACTCTAAAGAACAGTGATCGGCAAATCTATGGCCATTTCTAATCAAAGATACTATAAATAGTTTCCATAAATTTCATATCATCAAAAAAAAAACTAGTATTAGACAATTCTCTTCCAATACAAACACCATTATTTCATACTTAAATTTAATACCACCTATCTCAGATGATGTCTTGGATGTTGTGTAAAAACCATGTCTTATGCAAGACATGATTTCATTCTCTTTCCTCATTTATTCACTTGCCACATTATTTTTCATTCTAGGTGGCAGCTAATGCTATGGACATCATCTTAATTATTGGGTTGGAAATGACATAAGATACCGTCAGTTGTAATTTTTGAAAAAAACTTGGCTGATTGATTGGATGGCCACTAATAAATGCACCAGCTTCCCGTACGTGATATTTACTCCTGTACAACGGCGAAAGTGAAAAACGAATGACTAAGGAAAGAAAAATATTTACATGTATAGGAGGATTGGTGCATGCCGGGCAAATGTCATTACTGTGACTTTTTTTTTGACACGATGTCATTATGACTTATTGTGACTGTGATAGTACTAATTCCGAACTATTTCTTTATCTAAAAAATATTGCCACTTGACAAGATACTACTACCTCTGTCCCAAAATAAGTGTAGCCATGGATATCCATGCCCAACATTTGACCGTCCGTTTTATTTGAAAAATTTATAAAAAATTTAAAAATATTTAGTCACACATAAAGTATTATTCATGTTTTATTATTTAATAGCAATAAAAATACTAATCATAAAAAAATTTCAAACAAGACGAACGGTCAAACGTTAAACGTGAATAGTGCAAAACTATACTTATTTTGGGACGGAGGGAGTATATATAATCAAGGTAGTTGCATTTTACGCCATGTTTTTTTGTTTCCAAGGTTGGCCAAGTTGAAATTTGAGATGAGGCAAAAGCCTTCCTGCCAGTCTAAGGCGCTGCTTAAGGGAGTTTAAGATTTTGAGAATATGCTCGTTGGTAGTCAGCTTTTGAGAATTTGAAGAAGCTGGGTTTTCCAGCTTTTGGATTCTAGTACATTTTCTGTATTATACAACTACAGATTCTAAGAATCTAGGTGACAATCTAAACTGTTTAGAGAAGCTGGAGATTATGTGAGAAGCTGCGGCTGCTAGAAGCTGCTCCAAACATGCCCTAAAACCGGTGTGTATGTTGTTGGTCCACTCTATTGAGAGGGACGTATGCCCGGACAACAGAAGGGACTGTATACTTGTTTTGTGGGTAATCCCAACCAGAATGGCATAAGCCTGATTCTCAGAAATCAGAACCAACTTCAGAACCTTGGGCCTTCTCCATTCCATTTCACACCAACTTACTTAGAGCATCTCCAACAGTCTCTCTAAATTGGACTCTCCAAACATCTATATAGCTAGCTCTCCAATTGATTTGGCAAGCCAAACTTATTCCTCACTCCAACAACCTCTCCATCTACACTCCCCATTATGAGCCTATGACACTGGGACCCGCACGTCAGCCTCTATTACTCATGGCTGTGTAGGAGGCGGCATCCTTGTGCGCCATTTCGTCGAACAGGTTGCAGGCAGGCCGCGTCGGCATGCCTGGGCGTGTATTTGGTAGGCCAAGCGGGCCAGCAGCGGAGGGCGGAGCAGGCGAGCTCGTCGGCGGCGGCGGCGGTGGCTGGGTGGATGGCGAGAGCGCGGCGGCCCTGGAGGAGGCAGAGCAACGGAGGCACATATCAATCGATCGGTGGGCGGCCAGGCGGGGGAGGACGCTGACGGGGAGTAGGAGGGCACCGGCGCAGGAAGGGGAGGGGACAGGGGAGCACGCGGTGGAGGTGGAGCGCACGGCGGAGGAGCGTGGCCACCATGGGTGGGGAGGCGAGGCGAGAGGAGAGGAGAGGGGAGGGGGATGACGACACGGCGGCCTCGGCAGTGGACGACGACGCGGCGGAGGGGCAGCGCCGGCGGAGGGACGCGACGGAGGGAGCGACGCCGGTTGTGGTTGGGGACGGAGGCCGCGGTGGATGCGGCAGCGCCGGACTTGGTCAGGGACAGAGGCGGCGACGCCGGTTGTGGCTGGGGACGGAGGCGGCGGCGGACGGCGGTGCCGCATGTGGCCGGGGACGGAAGCGGTGACGCCGGTTGTGGCTGGGACGGAGGCGGGGGTGGATGCAGCGGCGCCGGACTTGGTCGGGGACGGAGGCGGCGACGCCGGTTGTGGCTGGGGACGGAGGCGGCAGTGGACGCGGCGGTGCCGGTTGTGGCCGGGGACGGAGGCGGCGGTGCCGGATGTGGACACGGACGGAGGCGACGGCGGCGGTTGTGGCCGGGGACGGAGGCAGTGGCGATGGGCTGTGCGGGAGGCGAGAGCGAAGGAAGAGGAGAGCGAGACATGTGGGAGGGATAGTGCGTGGGGCCCACAGTTAGCTAGCGGGTGTGGCTGGCCACATTTGGCCAGTTCCATAGGATTTTTAGCCAGCCGGATGGCTTGGCTAGTCAATTGGAGAGTCTGTTGGAGATTTTTTTTTTCTATCTTAGCTATAATTTAGCTTGGAGAGCCATTTAGCCACTCTGTTGGAGTTGCTCTTAGGCCCCGATCGAGAGTGAGGGACGGGGAATAATCCCTCCGGCATGGAAAACGGAGCAGGCCATTAGCACGTGATTAATTAAGTATTAGCTATTTTTTTCAAAAAATGGATCAATATGAATTTTTTAAGCAACTTTTATTTATAAATTTTTTTTAAAAAAACACACCATTTAACAGCTTGGGAAACGTGCGCGTGAAAAACGATGTGGCGGGAGAAGTTGCCCACTGGAACTAGCGCACCCTTATTTCTTAGGCTGTGTTTAGTTCACACTAAAATTAGAAGTTTAGTTAAAATTGGAATGATGTGATGAAAAAGTTGAAAGTTTGTGTGTAGGAAAATTTTGATGTGATGAAAAAATTGGAAGTTTGAAGAATTGTTTTGGAACTAAACACGGCCTTAGATTCAAATGAAAGAACTTGATTGGTTACATCTTTCTAGTAGTTTTGTTTTTCAAGTCACTTACTGTTTCCGAGTTAAAACCAACAAAACTTTTCCCTTCAAATTTTTTACACCGAATAGTTGAAAAAGTCATCCAACTTATGATCAATTCGAGATGCTAATTCCAATTTGCACATATCCACTAATAAGTACTACTCCATCCTCTCCAAAATATAGCTATTTCTAACACTTAAATTTTAAGTTTGTAGCAATGAAATGTTCAAAATTCCCCCATTACCACTTTCCTTAATATTTGTTAAAAAACTACAAAAGTATGGCCTGGTTTAATTCCCAACTTTTTCTTCAAACTTCCAACTTTTTCATCACATCAAAACTTTCCTACACACATAAACTTCTAACTTTTTCATCACATCATTCTAATTTCAATCAAACTTTCAATTTTAGCGTGAACTAAACACACCCTATATTTTGGGATGGAGTAGTATCTCTTGAGCCACCTCCCTCAGGCTTGACAATTTGCCATTGTGATATCTTTTGACACATGAATACTGGGAAGCATTTCAAATCACCCACCGTCAGTATTTCTTCCTCTTTGACATGCAGCTCACCAGCCAGATAGCCCAACAAAGAAAAAAAACCCAATGATACGAGATGGCTTCTCCAAACAACAGTTACTCAAAGGTCAGCAGCTACATAGGTACAGTATATGCTCTAAACTGTATGCTCCTAATTGCCTTTATCCACATTTGCATATATTGCAGCACACTCCAAAGCATTGGATACAGACTGCCATCACAGTAGCAAGTTTCATATAATTGCTCATGTGCATGGTCAAAAATTTCTTGCCCTTGTGTATATAGTGCTCACTGCACAAATGGTATAAGGAAATACTCAGCGTAGAACAACTGCAAGGAATACAAACAATGCAAATGATTAACATTACCAATGTTTAATTGGTTAACAAAATTCATCGTATAAACTAGAACACTATCATTAATCACCTTCCAAATGAACATGTAAAATGATGTGATCCACGCCTTGTTTTCAACGTCACAGTGCTGTGCTCTCTGCCAAAGTGCAAAGGCAAGCAGGCCATGGCCGAAAACCTGGATTATCAATGCAACAGCAAAAGGACTTCTCAACTTTCAAACTGGGGAAATTTTTTTTTGAAATGAACAATTTTTCTTCTTCTTTTCAGAAGTGAAGAATTCACTCACGGTGATAATCATTTGACATAGATTTGTAGATGATGCTCCAGCCAAAATGGCAGCCCCATATGCTGTTAATAGTATGTTTATGCAGAGCCAATACACCTAAATCAGATAAAAATAGGATTTTACACCATTTTTAAATCTGGAATGACATGTAGAACCATTATTTTGTTTTCCAGTGGTAGAATTGGATATGTTCTTACTCTTTCTGGACCCAAACGTACGCTCAGGGATTCGACGCCAAAATGTCTGTCACCATCAATATCTGGAATATCCTGAAAATTCAGAAAAGGTCCCAGTGATGATATTTGAAGAGATGGATGAAATAAGGCTATGACTGAAGAAAAGCCATTGTGATCTCACGTGAACATATAGTCAACATAATTGGGCATTTACCTTGAATAAAGCTATAACTGAAGAAAAGCAACACATGAATAATGTTGCGAAAACCACCGACTTTGTTGGTGCCAAGGGCCTCTTCAGAACATGTTGCTGTTACAAGAAGAATTCAATACTAACCAAAGGGAAATAAGGAATTTGAACTTGAGATGTAAACAATGTTTTGTACTACCTGCATATGTGCAAAGAAAGCTAGCTGAACTAAGACAGCTCTTACAAATAGTATACAAGATGCAGCGAGAAACGCGTTCCTTTTCCACCGGAGTAACGGAGCCTGAAAAAAAGAGTATGATGGATTGAAAATACAAGTATTTATATGTTAGATGGGATCATGGAACACCATTTGTACTTACAAAGCTCGGTAAAAACTACTTACATCAACAGAGTATGCACTTCCAAGAAAGAAACTGATAAACAAAGCACATAACAAAGGAGCTGATTTGGATCTGATTCCAATGGCAATGCTCTAGCAAAAGGAAACAAAATGTGAGGAAGGTGTATTGACATAAAACCTGTTTTATTCAAACTAGAATAATTGATTCTTTATTCCTGGCGTTGAACCTAATATACCATGATCAAGGACGTGAGTACTAACACTGCTCCAGTTGCCACTGAAAATTCTCCTGACGCCAACGGAAGGCTGGGCTTATTGACCTCCAAAAAGAAGTATGATTTAATCACAATGATACTACATATCACATGATAGAAGAAAATGTTTTCAAACAGCAAGTAAAAAATCACCTTATCAATCTGGATGTCATATAGTTGATTCAGGCCTACAACATAGATATTCATACATAAAGAAGAGGATAAAGCCTGCACATAAGGAAAAATAAATGGCTGTTGTATATCTATAGACCATTAAGAAGATAACTTTAAGCATCTGTTGAGCACAGGGTTCATCAGGAATTTAATTTAAAACATCTCTTGAGCACAGCATTCATTACAAAATTTATGTATGATACCTCAAGAAATCCCCATAATGCTTTCATAGTAAAATCATCTAGGCTCCTCATTGGCAGGAGAGAAACTGAAGTGATTCCTATTATCTGACAAACAATCCAAGAACAATAAGCAGTAGCTAGACAACATGCATCCGAAACTGCCATACAAAATTGAATGAAACTCACAGTGCCAAAAATTGTGTGGGGTCGGCAAAACCGATAAAAAGCTCCCAGTTTCTGGGGAACTTCTTTGCAAATTTCTTCAAACTCAGTGGCGATGGATTCGTGCTGATCACCAGCAATGGCATAGCATCTCACTTGGAGGACTGGAGAATGTTGTCTTTTTTGCCTCCTTATGCTTCTTGTGAGACTGGTAGCATTTAAAATTGCACTTAGTTTTACTTGTGAAGTTGTCATAGTGGGCTATCGAAAATATTAACCCCAGATTTACGAGAGTGCTTGCCTTTGACACTGGTGTAGAGCAGAATTTTCCACCGACAATTTACCTGTAATGTGTAATTGAGGACAAGTGTTTAGTACATTAGTCACTTTGGACAAAATTATATTTTAACAACTTATGTTTCATGGGGGAAAGTGCACACTAACATCTCTAAATTATTCATCCATTTTATCAACAAGGTATTTTATTTCTCCTAAAAGAAGAGGAAAAAAAATACAGTTACTGAAAAGGACACAACTATGAATTTGTTAATTAGGATAAACTTCATTTCAGAAATATGCACCTTCGAATTCTTCTAAAACTTAGTGGCTGAAAAATTGAGGACATATTAATCAGTAATGCCCTATATTTGCAAATTTTGGGACAATTTGAACCATGCCACACAAATTTTACAAAATTTGTGATATGCCACCCTGACCCACATGTCATTGACTCATGTGGGTCTTACATGTCATTGAGATACGGGTGGCATATCTCAAATTTTGCAAATATAGGGTGTCATGGTTCCAACAAACCCAATAATTTTAGTGGGGGCTTCGCAGGGGCTCCCATGGTCCTCACGTAAGTAGTGGAGGCTCGAGACTCTACCGCCTTCATGCTAGATCCGCCCTATACAATTAAAAGGATCGCAAGATCCTGAAACTCTTCCGGAGAACTAGGAACCCAAATGTACAATCTTTTTCTTCATAGTGAAAAACTTGAATACATGTTTGATCCTGCAATTATCATGCGCATGCAGTTCAAATGTTTTAAGGTTTTATGCTTTATCCCCCATCTTCTTCTATTTGTGGTGCATCTAGGCTAGCTGGATTTGATCTACGAACAACCCAACCCGGATGCCTGGAATGTTGATTTTTATTGAAAAAACATACTAAATATAGAACGAAAACACGAATCTCTGTATACCTCCCCAGGACAGTTTCCTCGTTCCAAACCGAGCCCTGAATTCCGATCCCCTCTTATCTGCAGCACCCAAGTTAAAGAAAATCCTCAAATCAAACCGAAGTAATCAAAGAACAAGACTAACAAAAGACAGTATAAAAGAGTTGTGTGTCAGCTGGCGGCGGCCGGTTACCTTCCTGGACTTGCACGGTGTGCTGATGCGCCGCCGGCTTGATAGCCGAGCACGCCGCCGCCGCCGCCGCCGATGAGGCTTGCATCGTCTGGGATCTTGGAAGAAGACAACGGACGGACGGACTAGATGAGGAAGAACTGAAGAGGAGGAAAACCTAGGAATTAAGCCGCCGGCCGGCCGGATCGAGGATTTATGCGAGGGATTAGCTGATCTATCGATCGATGGAAGGGAGATGTGTGGAGTGGGGATCGATGAGTTGGGGGACGCAAGCTTTTCTGCTGCTGATTAATGCACGCATGCATGGCGTGCATGTAACCGAACCAGCTATGCTAGCCGCACTGCGCATCAGCCAGCAGTGATGACGACGCAGGCAGGCAGCTATCCCACGCCGCCTGCCTGTGCTGCACTACAACTCACGCGTTGGAAACCAGGCCATGGTCCACGGGAGTTAGCCGGGCAGTCAGCCCATTGGGCCGCGAAAACGCGCGTCTAAAAAACCGCCGCAAGTTATTTAGGAAAAACTTTCAAATCTAACTATACTACAATTGTAATATAATTCCACTGTAACTATAATATTAACTTGTATATAAGTATTAAAATAATATACGCAACTTTATATCTAACTTATATAGAGATTACAATGTAGTTACAGTTATATTGTAGTTACAAATTACTCCATCCGTCCCATAAAAAACCAACCTAATACCGGATGTGACATATCCTAGTACTATGAATCTGGATATATATCTGTCCAGATTCATCGTACTAAAATATGTCACATCTAGTCCTAGATTTGTTTTATGGGACGGAGGGAGTACAATGTAACTATAGTGAATTTACATTATAGTTACACTATAACTATACTATAGTTACACTTGAAAGTTTTTTCCTATAAAACTTGCGACAGTTTTTTTTTTAGCAATTTTGGTTCTCGTTTGGAATAAGTTTGCTTGCCATCCATCACCTTCACGTCGAGTTTAAACGGCATCCTTAGACTGCAATACTAGAAATCTTCAACCCCAACTTGCAAAACCGGATTAATTAAGATCATCCGTCAGTATAGATGGTTGGTTTCATTGACATAACAAGTTGACTCGGTCCACTCATGCTGACTAGGCGTATACGTGAAAAAAAATAAAAGTGAGCCCCCACATATAATCCTCGCTCTCCTCCCATTTTCTCCCTCCCTCATCTCCATTTTCTCTCCATCTCCCTTTGGTTCTTGGAGCTTGATGCATCGAGCACGTTGCTAGAGAGCGGTGATTGAGAAGTGGGGGCTAACCAGGAGCGGTGATGAGGAAGCAGCTCAAGGCGAGGAGGTCTAGTGCGGCGATGGGTCTGCCATGGTGGTGACAGAGGCCAAACCGAAGTAGAAACATCCGTATAGAGCAGGGACTTCCTCAGCTTCCGAATAGGAGGAGGAGCTCGTCATCCAGGTTGGCTCTTCCCCTTTCACCTTCAACCTCATCAGCTCGCCGCCTCCGTCGAGCTGTCGGGTAGGCGAGAAGCGACAAAAAGGAATCGGGCTGAGCTACCGTTGCTGACTCGATGTGGAGCGCTTCCTGCCGCAGGAGGCATGATAGGAGTTACCTAGCGAGTCGGGCAGCGTGAGTGGCTTGGGGCTGGAACTAGGACATGGCAACGACACCACCGCTCGAGCTTGATTTCCATCGCCACCACCGTGGCATCCCTTCCTCAACCTAGCGGCTCCTCCTCTCACTCTCGACATAATCAGGCAGCGACGGTAAGCCCCACTCCTAGCGGTAGGGAAGAGCCCATCCCCAGTGTCACAGGACCACGTACAGGAGCACCCGAGGCGGAGTTACCGGGGCATCGGGTCCTCTCCTCCGTCATCGCAGACTACCATTGCCCTCTATCCTCTTCGACTGCTCACCGCCACCTTCCCATGGACTGTCGGTGAGCTAGAGCTCGCCGACTCCCTCATCTCCCTCCTCTTCTCCTTTTGCTGCCATGGTCCACAAGAGCCCTCTCATCACCGACCTCCCACCGCCGCGCTGTCTCCCGCGGACGGGCTTGCCAGTCGCTGCCACTCTCTCCTCCATTGAGCTCCTGGGAAAGAGAGGGGAGAGGTGGAGAGATGGGGAAGAGAGGGGATAGTTGAGGAGAGGAGGAGGTCCACTTACATGTGGACCACATGTTTTTTAATTTTCTTTTTGCTGACTAAGATATGACGTCAGCCCAAAACCAACCATCCGTACTGTCATGGAACTTGGCTTGGCCGGTTTCGTCTGTATAAGGGGTGAAGATTTTTGGTATTACGGTTTAGGGATGTCAATTAAACTCCACGAAAACTGAGAGGCGATATGTGGACTTGTTTCTTTCTCGTTTTCTCCCGGAATAAGTTCATCTGAGGTCCCTTAACTTATCGACGAATCCGATTTTCGTCTTTCAACCAGAAAATCAGATATAATAGGTCCCTTAATTATCAAAACCGGTGCAATATAGGTCATAAGGAGGTTTGGACGGCGGTTTTAGCTGACGTGGTGCCTACGTGGCTAATTTGACTCGGTCTTCATCTAACGCGGCATTGACGTGGCCCTTACGTGGCAATTTGATCCGAAAAAATAGTAAAACCCGTGGGAACCATATGTTAGCTTCACATACACAATAATAAAAAATGGTGGGACCCATGTGGGCCCTGCATGTTATTCTCAATCCCCTCCTCTTCTTCCTCCTGACCTCCTCTCTCCCCCATCTCACCTATCTTCACCTCTCTCCCCTCTCCTCCCTCCTCTCACCGACGGAGATGCGGACGGCGTGGAGGCGCGACCTCCTCCACTCCCGTCCCCATGGGCTTACCGCCGACAGCCACCGTGCCTGCTTCCTCTGCCGCTGGTCGCAGGTGCATCTGAGCAAGAGGAGCCACATGCGGGACCAGACTGTCAGCGCCATGGATGCAGCTACATGGCTAGGGAATGGCTCTAAGCTGCTGCCGACGTGCAGCTCATGGGCGATACCCTTGCAGTCACGTGGCGCGTGTGTTGGAGGAAGCAACGGAGACGGGGAGGTGGCCGCGTGTCACTGAGGAGGACGGGGGCCCGGCGAAGGCAAGAGCGGCAACCGTTTCTGAGGAAGGCGCGGGGGCAAAAGGCGGTGCTGGAGAACGGCCACCGGAGGTCGAGGCGAGGGGGAAGCGGCGGCGACGGCAGGAACATCCGGAGGCGGTGGAGGCAGGCGTGGCGGGCGACGAGGAGAGGGGTGGCGGATGCCTGTAGTAGGCCCATGGGGGGCGAGAGTGGAGGAGGCTGCGTCTTCAAGCCGTCCGTTTCTCCGCCGGCAAGAGGAGGGATGAGAGGGGAGAGAGATGAAGACATGGGAGATGGGGAGAGAGGAGGAAGAAGAGGAAGGGATTGAGACCAGGGGTTTATGTGGGCCCCACTATTCTTTTTTATTATTGTGTGTGTGAAGCTGACATGTGGGTTTTATAGGTTTTTTTTTTCAGATCAAATTGCCACGTAAATACCACGTTATATGAAAAACCAGTCAAATAAACCACGCAAGCTAAAACCAAACCACCGGTTTTGACAATTAAACGACGCATTGGTTGACAAGTTAAGAGACACCAGATGAACTTATTCCTTTTTCTCCCGTAGCGCGCGCGGCCCACAGCCTACACGGCCCACCTCCCGCGCTACCCCCCAGTGGGCAGTGGCGACGCTATCCTCTCCATCCGCTCGCGGCTCGCGCTCGCCCATCCAATCCACCGCAAGCCGAAGCGTGAGCAAAGTGCCCTCGAGCCATGGCCATGTCCCTCTCCCTCGCGCGCGTCGCGCTCCCGCCTCTGCTGCAGCAGCAGGGGGGCGCCCCCAGGAAGCTCCACCCCGGCGCCCTCGCGTTCCCCGCCAAGTCGTTCTTCGGCGCGCCGCTGGCGGCCGTCGCGGTCTCCCCCGCGTCGGCGGCGGCGGCGTCGCCGCTCCGTCGCAGGCCGTCGTCCGCCTCCGCCGTCGTCGCGGCGGGGAAGGGGTACAAGATGAAGACCCACAAGGTACGGCGCGGCTTGGTTGGTGCTGTTCTGGTGTGGATTGCTGCTGCTGGGGCTGATTGATTTCTGTGGGAATTTTTTTTCAGGCGTCGGCGAAGCGGTTCCGGGTGACGGGGAGGGGGAAGATCGTGCGGCGGCGCGCCGGGAAGCAGCACCTTCTCAGCAAGAAGAACACCAAGCGCAGGAAGAGGCTATCCAAGATGGTATGCTTCTTCTTCTTCTCTTCTCCCCCCACCACCCTGCAATCCAGATACAGTGCAGCTCAAATTCTGGTCTACTAGTTGTCCAGCTTATCTAGCCATGGAATTTGCTGGTGTTCCTATGCTTAATTTTGGATTGGATTGCAATGTGAGCTGTGGAATGCTAAATTGCTAAGTGAGACTGTGAGAGTGACTGAGTGAGTGTGGTTCAGCTCATGGTGCTATGGAATGCGCCGAATTTGGGATGTTCTATTTGTGAATTTCGGGGCAATATGCATAGCTGTCTCCTAGTACCTATGTGGCTGAATCTGATTGTGGGTCACATATCTGTGCATTCTAGATTGTATGGGAATCAAATGAGTGGCATTTGTAGCTTCTTTCTAAACTTTGATGTGTTCAGCTCTGCTGTTCGCGATAACTAATTAGTAATTTCACTCATTTTTTTTCAGAGTTCATGGTCCACTATTAGTTCTTACAACAAAAAATATTTTTAGAAGCCACTTCTTTATGTCTATGTGCTATTGTGCTAAGTCCTACTTAATATTAGCATATTTTTAAATTGCTGAATAATAATATGCCATGCTCTTTGAGTATTTTTTGGGAAGTTAAAAGATTGTCGAATGTCTTATCCATTTGATTATTGGGGATCTGACAACATAATTAACAGCCATAAACTTTGTTGTAATATTAGAAGCTCAGTAGGTTGAGTGTTATAATTAGTGTGCACACGCAAAAGTACATACCAGCAATTGATAATTTAATTGCTCATCTATCCCAATCTCCCCTTGATATCAATCCATGATTGGTATGTGTCCTTTACATTTTTCTGTTCTAATAATAATGTGCAAATGCATCATACACATTTTGCATTGGAGTGTTTTGTCGAAATGAAGTCCACTATTTTTGTACACTTCTTCTGTAACTGAGTCTCCATATTATTTTATAGAGGTTTGGTCTTTCCCCCCTGAAGTTCAGTCTTCCCATTTCTTACCTCTCGGATCCTTAAAGTAAAGCACACCCTACACTAAATTTGAGATAGGAAGCTTTCTTGTAGGCCCAACATCTGTTCTACTTGTATCACCAATGTTTGGTAATTAAGCGGCTGAAAAGAAACATTATTACAATAAGAAAATAACAATGATTTGCTGGGGGTGTAGTCTATTTTAGTAGCTTCTGAAGTCCTAAAAGTGTCATCATAAATCAAGGACAACTTCACTGGAAGTCTAAAACTTGTCATTGTCTACCGCCCTCTAAGAGAACATTGTTATCTTTCTCGCAGATCCAAGTTAACAAGAGCGACTACAACAACGTGACGGGCGCACTGCCCTACCTCAAAGTGAACAGGAATGCAGAATGAGATCTCCTAGGTCTTGCAAACATGCTTCTGTTTCGTTTCATCAAATTGTAATTTTGTGTATCTTCTTTGTATTTCTTTTCTGAATACCAAGGTCCCAAGTCATACCAAGCAAGCACAAACAATTATTCATGCCAACATGTTCAAAAATGAGTTGCACTTGCACGAGCTAGTTATTTACAAGTCCTTTTTCCCCTTTTGACAAAGAAAATTCCAACTGATAATGAAAGCAACTATTAAGGAGTAAGAACATGAGTGGTTGACTATGCAAGGCGTCTCCCATTATACCTGTGACTAATAGCATCTGATTTAATTTGCATTAAGTAATATGTGCAGGCTTAAGAAGTGAAAAAAGTCGTTTATTTGAGCTCTTCTGTGTGAAACTGCGAACTCACCTAAATGGACATCTAAGCATTTTTTGGACTATAAAATAAACATCTTTTGCTTAATTTAGCAAGGAGACCGTTTATTTATTGACTCGTTCACACGATGCCAAAGTGACATCTATGTATTTTTTTTTAATTTAGCAAGAAGACCGTTTATTTATTGGTTTGTTTGGTTGTATGGCGGCATGGCGCCACCCATTGCCCAAATCTACTGAGTTAGTGTTTGATTAGTTGTTGCAATTGTGGCAATCCATATTTTAGTACTCCATGCGCTCAAATTCCATACACACAATTCCTAGCTAAACAATGCCACCCCGTTGGCAATCCACACTGGTGACAAATTGAGTTATGACACGGTTAGGTTATAGTCTATCATGTCCTCAATCTGCATATGTGGTATGCACATACATTTTTATTGACTTCCATGCATATAGCAATTGATTAATAACATTGAAATAAGGGAGGATCAAAATAGAATAAGATTTGTTTAAGTTTAGTTGTTGGTGGACCCCCACCAGGCCACCACAGAGAGGCAACCGTTTGAAGGAAAAGCGAAAAACGAATTGTGCATTAACTAAAGTCATTCCACTTGGAGTTGATATTCACTAAAGAAAAGTTCAAAAACAAACATTGATAACCTACTGCAACCTATGGAAAGTCATTCTACTCGAATCCATGATTCCAATAGAAATCTAAAACCACAGTAGCAACGTTTATTATACAACAAACTCATCCCAAAACCATTAAATATCAACCACATCCTCCTACTTCTATGGAAAGTAATGCTGCCCGAATGATAGATTCACTACAAAATGTGCACAACTGTAAAAAAATAACACCAGACTATTGAAAAACATATAGAAAATCATTCTGCTCAAATCCTAAGATTCGCTAGAGAAACCCGAACCACACTAGTGACATTTATTATACAAGAATGTCATGGTAGAAATAATTAAATTACAATAAGAAGTTCCAACTTCTACGGAAAGTAGTTCCTTTGAATCAAAGATTCTCAAAATAGAACATGCAAAACCATCAAATAATAACTATAGGCTATTGAAACTTATAAAAAGCCACCCCGCTAGAATCCAAGATTTGCTAGAGAAACCCAAAACTACACCAACAACTTTTGTTATAGAGCAAATTTCACAAAACCTCATGTTTTGGGGGCATTAGAAACAAATACCCTTGGTCTTGTAATTTGTTTCAACAAGCCCCGAATTTTGAGGCAACATGTTTTAAAAGACATAAGCACAAACATTGATTGTCCATTTGGCTGTATAATAATTGTTTAAAAAAATATATGAGACATTTTACTATGTATACACATTGGCATATTTTTCAACAATCATTGGTTGTCGATAGTATGAACATTTGTATATATAAATGGTAGACATGGCATTATTAGTGTGGATTATGTTATGATTTTTCAATCATAGAGTGCGAGTGAGAAAGGAGATGAAGCAGAAAGAATGGACGTGTATTTAGAGCATATTAATGTGAATATATATCTAAATAATGTAATGCATAACATTGGAAGTGAGTTTTTTTTTAAAACATAAACCTAGTGTTTCTTGAAACATCTTGCCCCCAAAACATGGGGTTCCTTGAAACAAATAAGAATAAATAGGGTTTTGCATCACGGATGCCTCAAAACCAGGGATTTTGTGAACTTACTCGTTATTTATATAGCAATGCTAATGTGAAAACCATTAAATTAATAACATGCTAGTACTTCTATGTAAAGTAATTCCACTCAAGTTAGAGATTCGCTAAATAGAATATGGAAAATTGTCAAATTATAATAATAGGATAAATGAAAAACTTATGACAAGTCATTCTGCTCGAATCATGAGATTTGTAGGAGAAACCCGAAACTACACTAGCAACATTTGTAATACAACAATGTCATCACAAAACCATTAAATTACAACAACAAGATCCTATTTCCGCGGAAAGTAATTCCGTGCAAACCAGAGATTTGCAAACTAGAACATGCAAAGCCATCAAATAATGACTATAGTTATTGAACCTAGAAAGTCATTCTACTCGAATCCCAAGATCCATTGAAGAAATCCAAAAAATGCACTAACAAAAAAAATTATAGAGTAAATTTCACTAAACCCTAGGTTTTGGGACATTTTTAGCATAATACCCTAGGTTTTGTAATTTGTTCCAACAAACGCTTGGTTATGGGGCATCATGTTTTTTTTTAAAAAAAAATCACAGGCACAAACTTAGATAGTACATTGGGCTATATAATAATTGTTAAAAAAACTCGTATGGTACTTTTTTTTACTATGTACACACATTGGCCATAATTTTAACAATAGTTGGTTGTCAATAGTATGACCGTTTGTGTATGTATATAAGTGGTTGACATGGCGTTATTAATGGGGATTATGTTATTTGCATTCATATAGTGTGAGTGAGAAAGGAGGCAAAATAGATAGATGGGCATTGTATTTATAGCATATTAATATGTGAATACATGCATAAATAATACCATGTATAACTACAAAACACGAGTATTTTACATAAAACCGTGGTTTTTTGAAATATTTTTACCCCAAAACATGTGATTCCTTAAAACAAATCACAATAATGGGGGGGGGGGGGTTTGCATTACGAATGCCCTAAATCTTGGGATTTTGTGAAATTTACTCTTTATAATATATTATAGAGCAACACCAACATGAAAACATTAAATTACATTTCATCAATAAATCCACTGTTTTTGTGCACTTTTTCTGTAAATGAGTGCAATGGGTGTTTTGTTGAAATGTAAATCCACTGTTTTGTGCACTTTTTTAGTATCCATTATACTTTATAGAGGTTTGGGGTTTCCCCCTTGAGGTTTGCTCTTCCTGATTCTTACTACATCTTATATACTTAAATCTTACCTTACACTAAATTTGAGATAGGCAGCTTTCTTATCCTTCCCAACATTAGTTCTACATGTATCACCATTTTTTTTTCAGAATTAAGGACCTGAAAAGAAACATTGTTATTATTATTTTCTTGTAAGAAAATACCAATAACTTACTGGTTATGTATAGTCCATTTAAGTACTTTAGTCCTCAAAGTGTCATACTGTGAATCAAGGGGTAACTTCATTGGAAGTCTAATACATGTCGTTGTGTGCTTCAAAACACAATTTACATGTCCTCTAAGAGAATGCACATTGCTATCTTTATCGCAGGTCCAAGATAACCAGAGCGACCACAACAACGTGATAGGCACACTGCCCTAGCTCAAAGCGAACCAGAATGCAAAATAAGATCTCCTAGGTCTTGCAAACCTGCTTCTGTCTCATTTCATCAACTTGTAATTTTGTGTCTCTTATTTGTATTTCTTTATGAATATCAAGGTCCCAAGTTAGATCAAGTAAGCATAAACAATTTTTCATGCCAACATGTTCAAAAATTTTGCACGGTCTAGTTCTTTACAACATTTTGCAAGTTTTTTTTCCCCTTTTGACAGAGAAAATTCCTGTTCATATTGAAAGCAATTAGTATTAAAAAGTACAAACACGGGTGATTGACCATGCAAGGCCAGCTGAAATAAACCACAAAAGGACAATCCCTATTATACCGGTGACTAAATAACATTTGATTTAATTGCATTAAATAATATATGCAAGACTTGAGAAGTAAAAAAACAAGTCATTTATTTGAACTCTTCTATGTGAAACTGTGTGCTCACCAATTGAAATCTACGTGCTTTTATTGGAATACAAATAAACATCTCGTGTTCAGTTTAGCACGAAAATCGTTTATTTATTGACGTATTCACGGCTTCATGCCATGCCACAGTGATATCTATATTTTTTTTATAGTAGAAGAATATCATTCTTTGAGGGCTTCTTTGGTTGTATGCCACACATTCCCTAAGCCTTAGGTGTGTTACAATTTATTGGGTTAGTGTTTGATTTATTATTGTAATTATGGCAAGCCACATTTTGTTACTTCAAATGTCATACACACAAAATTCATAGCAAAACATTCTCACCCTTATGGCTAATAAAACAATGGTCACACTTCGTGAGTTTGTGTGGCAAGTCACACTTGTAAAAAAATGAGTTATGACAAGGTTAGGTTATAACCAAACATGCCCTTAATCTCTATATCACAAAACCTCTAAATACTAGCTAAAGTCATTCAACTTGGAACCTGTATTTGCTAAATAAATGAACAAAAACTTATGTAACACTCATAATCTAATAGATAAATCTAAAACTACATTAGCATTGTTTATTATACAATAAGCTCATCGAAAAATCATTAAATATCAACCACATGCTCCTACTTCTATGGAAATTGATTCCTCTCGAATCATAGATTCACTAAATAGAACATTCAAAATAATCAAATAATAATGGCATGCTATTGAAAAATGTATTGACCACATTTACTCTTTATTCTACAGCAATGCAAACACGAGAACATTAAATTATAACAACATGCTTCTACTTGTATTTAACAAATCTCTGATTCAAGCGGAATTACTTATCATAGACCTTGCCACCGTGCTAGTGTGAGTAACATTTATTATCCAACAAATACAACGGAAGCTTTAAATAATCATTTTGTTAGTATCATAGTGCTAGTATCATCATTTTGCTGTATTTATAGCGTAACAAATACAACAAAAGTTTCAAATAATATACACTAGTACCATCATTGTCACCAATGAATTAATTGAAAGCCAGCCACACTAGAGATGGTTTTCAACTATAGCACACATGGAGTAAGAGCATTTAACTATTTACCATTATTTGGCAATCATATCTAAATAACGACAAACTATTGAAAGTCAAAGAAAGTGACATGTTATTGGGACCGACAGAAAGTAATTTTGCTTAAACCCAAAATTCACCAAAGAGAAACATAAAACCACACTAGTAAAATGTATATAAAAAAATTAAACCCAAGGGAAGAGACGTTCTAAATACATTGCTTTAAGATAAAAAAAAAATCCCTAAAAGCCGGTTAGATGCACCCTATCACCTTAGCTACATGCCACGACCACGGAAAACACATAGCGATGGACCTTTTTTTTTTGCGTGAGCCAGTAGTGATTGAGCCCTCGTCAGCGGCCTCACTCGTTGGGATCTTACCATCGTGCTATGAACAACATATATAATTCAACAAATACAATAAATGATTTTTATATTATACACCTAGCTTCATCATTTATGAAAACCAGCAAAACCAGATGTGGTTTTCAACTGTAGCCCATAGAAAAAGGGCATTTAAACATTTACCAATATTCGGTGCACACACATTTACTCCTCGCATCAAGGCTCTCGCAAAAGTGGGAAGAACAGTCCAATAGAACATCAACCAGTGAAGTGTTAGTGGCAGCGGAAGAAGAAACATGCATGCAACAATAGTCAGGAATTTAAAGCTAGGGATTTGCACGCACACAGGCCAAAATACCTTCCAAATTTCTCTGCGAGGGAGCGCGTGAATTCCACCCCCATCTACTGTCCTGATCCTCTCCTCTCCTCGTCGATATAAATGACGCCCTCCCCCTCGCTGTTGCACCCATCCCTCTCTGACCTCGAGTTGCAGCTTCTTGTGCTGTTTTGAGCCAGCATTCGAGGGAACCCATCGGAAAAGATCTGAAAGGTGGGGGTTCTAGGAGGGTTTCTTGGTGTTCTTGTATTGGTTTTGGTGGGTTCTTGCTGGGGGTGCGGAGGGGGAGGGAGATTTTGGTGGTCAGTCGTTCGTCCAGATTGGGGTTTTCTTGTTGCTGATCGTGTTTGTTTTTTTTTTTACCAAGGGGATCCAAGGGACGAACATGGCGGCGACGCAGGCGACGGCCGCCAGAAAATTCCCAGAGGGTTTGCGCGTGCTTGCCGTCGACGATAGCCCCGTTTGCCTCATGCTCCTGGAGGCGTTGCTTCGCCGGTGCAAGTACCAACGTGAGTTCTTGGCTTGTTAGCCGAGTTGTTTAGTTAGATCTTTTTTTTGTATATATTTTTTTCTTGTTGTTTGCTTGATTTCTGCGGTGGCCGGGATGTAGCGACGATGACGAGGGACGCGGCGACAGCGCTACGGATGCTCCGGGAGAGGCCGGGGGATTTCGACCTGGTGATTAGCGACGTGCACATGCTGGACATGGACGGCTTCAAGCTTCTCGAGCTCATCGGCCTTGAGATGGATCTCCCCGTCATCAGTAAAACCCCTTCCTTCACACCAACTTTCCATTTTTCATGCATGTCATGGCTTCCCTTTCTTGGTATTTGTCCCTTTTCTCTTGGAAGTAGATGTCTAAAGAAGTAGGAAGTGTTGCTTTCAAGTAGATCTGTTGAATGGTTGTTTGTTATACATTGGATACCACGTGAGATCCTGTATATTTATTGACTTCACACTCATACTTGGGCTGATAGATGGTACTAGGTTGGAGAAAAGTGGTCACATGTCTATTATGTGCTTGGTCTTCACATTCATCAATAATAATCTGAACATGTAACGGAATTTCAGTGGGGATATTATGTCGTTGTTTTATGATCCGTTATAGTTGTTGTTTTGTTGGCGTTACTACTTCCAAGTAGATAAGTAGATAAATCAAATGGTTTGTCGTACATTGAATAGTACTTGATATTCTGTAAAATTATTGACTTCATTCATACTTGGGTTGGTAGATAGTAGGTTAGAGAAAAATGGCCATTTGTCTATTATGTGCTTGGTCTTTAGATTCATCAACAATAATCCAAACATATGTATAGCGGAATTTCGGTGGATGGAATATTATGTTGTCGTTTTATGGTCCATTGTACTTGTTCTTTTGTAGGCGTTACTATTTGCAAGTAGATATATTGAATGGTTCGTTGTACATTGGATAGCACGTGAGATCATATAAACTTATTAACTTCACCCATACTTGGGCTGATAGATGGTAGGTTAGAGAAAAATGGCCACGTGTATATTATGTGCTTGGGTTTTAGATTCATCAATAATAATCCGAACATGTAACGGAATTTCGGTGGATGGAATATTCTACTGTTGTTTTAGGGTCTGTAGTAGTTATTCTTTTGTTGGTGGTACTACTTTCAAGTAGATAAATTGAATAGTTTGTTGTACTTAGATAGCACGTGAGATCCTATAAATTTATTGACTTAATTCATACTTGGGATGATAGATGGTAGGTTAGACAAAAATGGTCACATGTCTATTATGTGCTTGATCTTTAGATTAATCTGAACATATAACAGAATTTCAGTGAATGGAATATTCCCTTGTCGTTTTATGGTTTGATATAGTTGTTCTTTTGTTGGTGTTATTGTCGAATCTGCATTCGTGTAATCGTGTTACATGTATTGTCCTATTTTTTCTATTTAATGTGCAAAATAGTAAAACCTATATCATTTGAAACCGTCGAACATAAAAGTGACCATAACTGTAGCATGTCATTGTCTAGCACGTGTGAAATATTTGCTTACAATAAAAGATGGGAAAAACATGTGTAATACCTTAAATATATTCAAAAGAACAGAGTCCATATATAACTAGCATCATCTACGCCACATTTTTTTTCCTGATCCGGATCCACAGGCAACAGTTCATGATGCCCAGTTTATTGAAACAAATTCTGATTGCTGACTATACGCTGTGCAGTGCAATCCGCAAATGGGGAGCTTGAAACTATGATGAAGGGCGTGACCCATGGGGCATGTGACTACTTGGTGAAACCAGTGAGCCTCAAAGACATCCAGAACATATGGCAACATGTGTGGAGGAAGAGAAAGCTTGACATAAGGAACCACAATGGCGGTTACAACGACGGCGGTGAGCTGGTTGGCGCGACGCGGACCAAGAGGAAGTACACAAGGAAGATGAGAAATGATGGAGATAATTATGGTGAGAACAAAGAGAACATGGATTCAACTCTGAAGAGACAAAGGGTTGTCTGGACACCTGAGCTGCACCGGGACTTTGTCATTGCCGTCCATGAGCTTGGAGTTGATCGTAAGAGCTCATGCATCATGTCTCAGTTATCAAACAATCTTTTTCTTTTTTTCAATTTGTCTTAAGCAATAAATATTTTGATTATGTGAATGTAGGTGCTGTTCCAAGGAAGATATTGCGGATGATGAAAGTGGACTACATGACCAGAGAGAATATTGCAAGTCATCTTCAGGTTTATATCTACACTTATGTTTAATTTCTATGTTTCTATAATTAAAGATATTTGGATTACTCTTTTCTGATCGAAAGTGTTCCATACATAAACCTTTCATATCTTCTTTTAATGTGTGCACACAACTAGTAATCAATTTTTTTGTGATTTTTTTATTGTTTTCCAATGAGTATGGACACATCTCAACCATGTGTTTGCCTTTCTTGGTTTCAGAAGTATCGGTTATACCTGAAAAGGATCAGCACTCAAACAGGCATGGATCCTGATCAATTTCCTGAAAAATGGAAGTATATGAATGAACTGGATGCTCTGAAAAATTACTGTGAAAATGGGAGATACCGTCTAACCCCAGCCATTGCCTCCTCAAGCTCGAGCAATCCATTTGCAAGGATGAATTCTGCATCTGCATTGGCAACAAATGGCTTTCTGCCCACTCACTCAGTTCAGCTCAAGAACAGCCAGAGAAACATGGCCATGGGGACAGTTGGCCATGGTGGAAGCCCGGGCAACAATCCTGTGTTTCAGCCACTGCAGAACTCATCAAATGCAAGAAAGTGCTTCCCATCTGGCCCATCTGGGAGCTCATTTGCAAACATATCAAATGGCTTGGTGTTGGATACAGACGATTCTGGTAGCTCATATGCTGGCATGTTCTGTAAGAGTATGTGGGAGACAAGCAATGGCTCTCCATCTTGCCATTCTGGCAACTCGTCTGCAAACAAGTCAAATAATGGGGTTTCGGCGCCTGCAAATCAGTTTCAAGTACAGTCAAAGTTTGGGTTTTCAGCTCTTGCAAATCAGTTTCCAGTGCAGTCAAATTGTGGGTTTTCGGCGCCTGCAAATCAGTATCAAGTGCAGTCAAATGGTGGGTTTTCGGTGCCTGCAAACCAGTTTCCAGTGCAGTCAAATGGTGAGTTTTTGGCGCCAACAAATCAGTTTCCAGTGCAGTACCCTGAAGTGAATAATCAGCCTTTGGTTCAGATGAATCAATCTTCTACAAACCACTTCAGCACAATTGGCAATGATTACCAATTTCCGGACCTTGCAAACTGTAGCAAATACTGGCAACCTACAGCACCATCGATGTTTCCTGATCTTGGTCACAATGATGGGACATCTTTCCGCCCGTCGCAGGCGAACATCGCCAATATCAACCAGCTCTCAAGCTTTGCAGCCTCCAGTGGCCAGGAACCGATGTTTGGAGATGAACTACATGGTCAAATGTCACCAATCATGAGCACCATATCACTGTCAGATTTCGATGATCAGATGGGGTCATTCAACATAGGAAACGACACAAGCCCAGCAGAGATGATGCATGACAACTTCTCACTTGGTAGTGACTCGAACATCAGTTCTTCAACACCAACTGATTCAAGCTTCGGTTCTACATTTCCTGACTTTCATCTCGACAGCCCTGAGATGCCGGCTCAGATGCTGAATGGTGGGGATGAAGATGGCATTCTTCTCCCTGTGCTCGATGACACAGTTGATCAGCAAGATCTTTTTGATCAACTAGATGAAAACAATGGTAGGGAAAAACTTGGTAGTGGCCGATGTGTTAGGAAGGGTCCCTTTGAATGTTTCTTTTAGAAGAGCAATTGTAGGGAAAAACTTGGAAGATTGGCTTGAAATTGTTTCAAAGGTGGTGAGTGTCAATTTGAATGATAAGCAAGACCAATTCTTTTGCAAGAGCAATAAAAAAGGGTTGTTTTATGTTAACTCCATGTATAAAGCCCTTATGCTTAATGGTGTAATACATAGGAAATCTTTAATTTGGAAGCTAAGGATTCCTTTAAAAATTAAAATTTTCCTTTGGTATATTGAAAAGGGGGTGATTCTAACAAAAGATAATCTTGTTAAAAGAAGATGGAAGGGTAGCTTGCTTTGTAGCTTTTGTAACTCTAATGAGTCAATTCAACATCTCTTCTTTGATTGCATAATGGCTAGATACATTTGGAATGCGATCTATCTTACTTTTGGAGTCAAGCAACCCCGTAATAGTTCACACTTGTTTGGAAATTGGTTAAGAGGTTTTGAACCTAAGCTTAAAAGACAAACTTGGGTAGGCATAGCGGCGAGTTGTTGGGCTTTGTGGCTCAGTAGAAATGACTTAGTCTTTAATGGCTACAACCACGTATCTTTTTTGTAGGTAATTTTCAAAGCAACTCAGTTGTCAAGGCTTTGGTCTTTGCTTCTTAAAGAAGACGAAGGCATTGAAGTAATCGCGAAGTGCAAGCTTTTAGAGAAGCGTATGATGGAGCTCTTCTCTACTTTTGGGTGGAACTTTAGAAGAAGGATTGAAGCTTAGCTTTTAGTTCCTCTTGCTTGTTATCCATCTTTAAAACTTATTTATGCTTTACCCATGTAACGGGAGAGTCTTATGTACTCGTGTTTGTGACTTTTAGGCTGTGTACACCCTCACAAGGTGTAGAGGCCGGGTTTTTTATAATCCATTATCTAAAAAAAAAGATGAAAACAATGGTTTCATCACAGGAACAAATGGTCCAGAAGGGACAGACACCTTGGATGACATTGTTGCTGAGCTGTTTAATGATGTAAGATACTCTCCTTTTTCCTGCAGATCGGCAGCTCGTTTTATTCTTCTTTTCTCTCTGGTTTCGATTTTTCTTCACATACCTGTAGCCAGTATTCACTACACTGCTTGATTCATACCGTTGGTTCATGCTTATAATATTGAAACATTGGGCATCTTTGAAGTATATTTCGTTTCGGCTTGCACTTTACACTTGGAATTCGCTGAGAAGTGCATCTGAATGGAACTTATTTTCTCACTGCAGGATTTCATGGAAGGTTATGATGCTGTCGTAGATGGAGACCAGGATTTTGTTCCTTAGTCCTGACTATGTGAGATATGTTCTGTATCTGCATAGGCTAGCTGCTGATTTAATCCATGGCTGTTGCACATTGTGTGTGCAAAATTGTGCCAATTGTAATAGGCTAGTTAGAAGCAGGTCATCTTCAGAAAAAGCCCCATTTCCATCTAGAGTAGTCAGCTCAACAAAAGATTTTAGCTTCGTCGTGGTTTTTGAGATCATAAAAAAACACATTGAAGTTTTGTCAGGTTGAACGTGTTCTGATTGATGTGTTAGATGGTTAAATGGAATAATTTTCATGAATTATTCGAAATGGTGCGCTTTATCCAGTTTTTATCTGGCAATACTTTTTTTTTTTCGGGAATACATCTGGCAATACTGTTCCTTTCTTAGAATTATAGAGATAACGCTTGTTTTACATGCATGACCATTTACTGTGCAGATATAGAACCAATTATTTACTGGGAGATAAATGGAACCATGGAATATTTGGGTGTCACAATTTCTGATTCTGACTGGGTGTAAGTGGGTAAGCCGCGAACCCACTTATAGGTCAAAATAAACGAGTTTGTGGCTTATTTTGGCCTATAAGTGGGTTTCGCGGGTTAGCCGCTTACAACCTTTCTGAGTGACTTATTGAGTTTCCACTGTATGTTACCTTAATTTAATTTTCTGTCTAACAGCCTGCAAGAAAGAAAAATTCCTTTTCCTTATTTTTTCCATGTAGCCAAAAACAGTTGATTACTGTGTAGACAGTCTCATGTTTCGATTGTCTGTCGCAGTAACTGCATCTTCTCATTTTGATATCTGTGCAAGGTCCTCGTTGTACTGATCTATCCATCCCTGTATGATCTTAACTTCTTGTCTTCGTTGTTCTACAACCCAATCTGGATCATCTTTAGTTGCTGATCTGAAGTCCAAATGATGAGCTCCTGTACAAATGGTATCAGCATAAGTCTGTCTGAAAATATTTTGACTTTACACGTTATCTTCAGAATCTTGTTTACCTTTCTCCGTGACAAGGGCAATGATACTAGATGATATGTTCTTGAGCACCCTGATTGCAAAGCAGTAGGGAGGGATAAATACATTATGGTTTGCTACAGCTGAAAAGTTTATCTGAATTACTGAAACTTATAACATGAATGATCAAATGGTGAAATCTTTCAGGCATACCCGCCACGGCTCCATGGGTCTCGCATTCCGTTGGAGAAGATGATGTTGCTCCCAAACCTCTTGAGCACCAGGTCAATTCTCTGTATCAAAATGTGGAATGCAACACCAGGTGAAACACTTCGAAAACCTATCAATGTTGCTACTACCTGTTCATATCTGAAACTGCAAACCTGAAACAACACTCACATTTCCACCATATTCAGTGGTGATCCAGTGTGGTCTCGGACGAACACCGTAGCTCTGGAAACAGTCATCAGATTTCCCCTCATAAGTGAAGGTGAATGGAGGGAACATGCTCTCGTTCGATATCGTCATCGGCATGACCATTTCTGTGCAGGCCTGCAAGAGAAGTTGCTTCAGAAAACACAACTAGTATCTATCTCAGTATTGTCAGTGGCATTGTATCAATCACCTGCCATCCCCAACCACTGAGGCCATGGGGGTCTTCTCCATCCTCTAACTGGAAGCATGTTTGATCTCCTGTGTAATTGTAGTACAGACTCGCCGCTGCGAAAGCTTTGTCAACGATGTCTGCTCCTGCAGGGAAGCCGTGGATGATCTTGCACATCTGTAGAAATTTCATGAGAAATTTACTGAGAACTGAAATTCCCTGGGAATTATATGTTCAGTGAGACAGAAGAACAGGCATGGTTTCTGCTCAGCTCAGTTTGGTGTTTCTGACACAATCTTGGTTATGCATTTGGTTGAAATGTAGAGAGGAGATTTGGACATTGTTTGCAGAACATAGGTAGAGATGGCAACCTCCTTGATAGGATAGGCAGGCAGATTCATCAGGAAATTGGCCGGGGTTGGATAGTCCACCATGGCTGTGTACACAAATGCTGTCCATAGCCAGTTTCTGAACGAGTAAACCGATTTCACAGTCCTAAAATTTGAGGGAGGAAAAAGGCAATATTGTGAACTCAGGTTAGTGTAAATCCAATCAATGTCATTCTTCATCTATTCAGAAGTTGGGAAGATGACCTTTAATCAAAGAATGATCATGGCTGTCATATATATAACTGATAAGGTCTATGTCATTTTTTTACATAAACCTGTTCTGTCTGGTATCTTATCTATCAATATATTAGGCAATCCTTATTGCCTTCTTAAAAATGGATAAGTTTTATGCCACCTGTAAATTTATATAGTTTCTTACACATCACGACAATGAAGCATAATTACTTGAATTTGTGTGTGTATATTATCCTTTTCTGAATCTGCATGCTATTTTTCTTTTCTTGGTATTGTTTGGTTGATCACTTGCACTGCACACATCTGGAATATAATAATTACAATGATCTCAATTTTCTGTTTTCCTTTATATCTAATAAGACTATAAGACGTGGATAAAATTTTGGATATTCGTGGCACGTTTTTCAAACTACTAAATGGTGCGTTTCGTGCGAAAACTTTCTATATGAAAGTTGCTCTAAAATATCATATTAATCTATTTTTTAAGTTTGTAGTAATTAAAACTCAATTAATCATATGTTAATACCACCTCGTTTTACGTAAAACACTTAATCTTATTTTTCATCTTTATCTTTAGGAGAAAAGAACACCACCTAGGTAGTGTATTAAACCAGCAATAAACTTACTTGCAGGCTCTGAAGGTTTTGCTGAGCTGTAAGAGCCCTGCATCAGTGGATCCCCTCTCATCTATCAAATCCCAAGCTGCCTTGATAACACTGAAGCAATTGAAGCTTTCAGACTGCAATATCAGTTGCAAGTTATAGTCAGTTTACAAAAAGATTAATCGATGGTCAGTCACACAAAGATGCCAAATCTTACTCGGAAAAAAAATAGATCTGGTAAAAAAAAGAGTAAACAGCTCAGTCAAGTGGTTGCTTCTATGAAATACATTTTTGACAAATCGAAGAGAAGATTTATAGCCAGTCGCCAAGAAAGCGACTTTAAGGTCCTGTTCTTAATGTCCGTATCCGTGGATTATTTGTGGATTATTCATACCACACTTTCAAAAGTACGATTTCTCGACAAACTTTCTAATAGATCACTCATCAGCCCTCTCCACATTTCATTGGGCATTTGGGCCCTTAAAAAGCAGCAACCATGTCTGTACTCTTGATAAGCCTATGGCGTGGTCACTCAAGCGTCGCAATCTAGCTAATTAAACAGTATAATCACAATCAGCCATGCAGGTTGCATGGTCTTCAGGGCCTTGTCTACCTGAATCAGGTTGCCATTTCAATCCAGCATTTAAGCTGAATGTACATGAACAGTGCAGAGGCTAATAGTCCATCATAACAAATCCATCAACTACTAACTAACTATACCGGCAAATGCTCAATGATCATTCATCATTGGACTTGTAGTGTAGGCAATCAGCTGCAGGAGGAGACATGGCTGCCATGCTTACCAACTTCAAGCCAACACGTACTGTCAGTTACAGTAGATGTACTGCATGCTGTGACTGACAGGTCAAAAGATGACGATTTTTACTGTACGTGACAACGGTCCAGTGACAATGACAGTGGGCCACACCTAGATATTTTTCTTTCGTCAGATTTCCAGACAAACTGGCACCGGTCGGTCAGTAGTTGACTTTCAACATCTAATGCACAATTTCCTTAAACAGTTCTATGAAATTATGCATCCCAAAATAAACCTGTCCTTGAACATAAATATTAATTTTGGTTACAAAACGCATAACTAGTTTTCATTAGTAAGATTTGATTTGGTTAAAAAAAATACCGATACCTCACAGTGCCAAATCGTTTTCAATCATTGGATCTAGCTGGGCAGGATTGACATTGTTAGATTCAACGATCGAAAATGATTTGATACTGTGAGGTACCAGTACCTCGAGGTATTTTTTTGTTGGACCGGAGCAAATATCATCATTAGTACCTTGTAATCTTGCGAGACGGCCTCGTAGAAGCTGCTCCATGGAGTTATGTAGTCGAACTGCAGGATCGGAGCAGAGGACGCGACGGCGCCAATGGTGACATGGGGATACTTTAGCCTGAACCATGAAGCCAACACTGCAAACAACAAGCAAAACAACAAAAAAAAAAGGATTAGTTCATCCTAATCTCGCTAATCCTAATACGAACAAAACCCCACGACGGCCAATGTCAGACACGCAGTACAACAATTATGGTAACTTTATGAATCATCCGTGTGTTTATAATCTAAGAGATCCAGATCCACGCCGCAACGAACAAAACAAAAAACACATGACACATGCTAAGTTCCTTAATAGTAACTTTTAACTATGCATGTAAATACAAAGCCTCGTCGTTCCGTTTATGCTTATACTTACTTGTAAGTCTAAATTTAAATTTTAAAACTTAATTTTAAGTTAATTTCGTGGTTTTCCATCAGAATTTATTTTACAACATTTTATCTTGAATCGTGCTAAGGACACGTGTAAAAATGTTTTATCCATAAATTATTGTTTTTACTAATAAATCGTTTGGATAAGCAAATTAGTAGCGGAAATAATGGGACTGACATTTTTTTTAAATTCATTTTTAGAAATAATGGAACTCACATTTGTTTAGATTTATAATTAGAAATAATGGGACTCACATTCGTTTAGATTCATTGTCAGAGATTGTTATATTATGAGGAATGGGACTCACATTTGTTTAGATTCATTTTCACATTTGTTTAGATTTATTTTTAGAAACAATAGAATTCACATTTGTTTAGATTTATAGTTAGAAATTGTTATATTCTGAGGAACATCTATTATGAGACGTAATAGTTAATTAATTACAATGAGATTTGGATCAAACATTTTCTCTAAAAAGAAATTAGAACAAACATTTTTTAAAAGGAAATTATGAGCATGTTGAGGATTGAACGTGAGGCATTAGAATTGAAACCACACACCAATTACCACTGCACTGATAGTGCATCTCAATACGTAATAGTTAATTTAATTATTGGTGACTTACTGCCGCCGTAGGAGCCACCGAAGACGACGACGGGGGAGGAGACGGCGGAGAGGTTGTGCTTGAGGCTGGTGATGAGGACGGCGAAGTCGGCGAGCGCTTGCGTCGACGTCAGGTACCCCAGCTTCTCCGGCGAGCTGTTCGACTCGTTGCCGAACGGCTTCGACTCCCCGTAGAATCGATGCTGCTTGCTCAAATCATGCTCATCAACCGTAAGTACGGTGTTAATTCAGTGTGATTAGTGATGTGTGATTGCTTGCCTCGATGAAGACGAGCAGGGCGCCGAAGCTGGGCGCGATGTCGAACATGAAGCCGGTGTTGGTGGCGAACCACTCGATGTCGCCCTCGTTGCCGGTGTACACGAATATCGGCCCGGCCGGCGTCTCGCCGGCGGCGGCGCTCCGCCGCCAGAAGGTGTCGTTGACGAGGTACTTCTGGTAGAAGACGGCCGACGCGTTGGGCGTGAAGGTGAAGTGGTCCAGCTCCTGCGGGAAGTAGTGCGCCGTGAACGGCTTCGCCGCCGCCGCTGTGCCGTTCCCTCCGGCCGCCGCCGCCGCCGCGGCGACGACATACCTGCTGCCGCCGGCGGAGCTCGCCGGCCGCCGCTGCTGCAGAGCTTGCAGCTGCAGGGGAGGGACTCCGGGGAAGACGGGGCTAGCTGCAGCTGCTGCAGAGGGGGCTGCGACGAGGAGGAGGAGGAGAGCTGCTGCTATGGCGGCGAGAGGGTGGAGTGGCGAGGCGGGTGCCGCCATTTTTGCAGCTCGTCCGTCTCACTCGCTCGTGTGGGGGTTTATTAAAGGAGCAGAGATGCTCTGCCATGTCGGGCCCACATGTCGGTGCCCCAAACGGCAGGTAAGACGTCGGAGTATGGTAGTACGTATTTTGTGGAATCTGTGTCCGGCCTTGCATATATTGCATGCAAATCGTTCTGATGCTTTCGTGAGTTTTATCCTTAAAAAAAAAGGCGAATACTAGGAAATAACTTAATATCAAATAATTAGAAGGGGTGATACTTCGAACCCAGATCGTCTAGCCCACCACCTTATGAAGTTAGCCGAAAAATTCTTATGTGTTTCTCCTTCCGATTTGAACAAGAATATATACTAAAGATTAATTGTCATTTAAATTGACGGACTTTGGGTCCAACGACTTTGGATCATAGCGTGTTACGTCTGAGCTCTAGGATATTGTCATTTGGTTTGTGGTCTTGTGGACAATATCGTAGCCTCGTAGGAGACTCGGCTATTACAACATGTATCAGCAATACAATGTGTCCCTGCATCAAAAGATACAGCTACCTCTAGCATTTAAATTTGTTCAAAATATGACTATTTTTTCTTATTAATTTCAACTGATCACAACAATCGCCAATTAATTTCTTCATCATTTTCTTATCTCAACCAATTACAACCATTCGCCACATCACTTTACCTACTTTATTAATCTTCGTGCTTGCATAGTTTCAAAGGTAGGAGTAACTATATTCTGGGATGGACAGAGAAAATGAGAGAATGTTTATGGTAGTTGATCTTAAACGCATTTGCTCCTAAGCCTCTTTTGGAATGCAAGGAAACTCAGACACAAAACATGGATAAAATTACAGAAAATAAACTAATCTATATAGCATACTATAAAAATTCTTACATTTTAAAAAGAGCACCTAAGATCGAAAGGCTGAAAATTATTTCGAGGCATGGAACCCCATTTGCCTTTATTAAAGAAACACGCTCTCTACTAGTACACAAGTCCGGATATCGTCCACACACAAGGTGCCGATGCAGACCGGCTGCATCATTCCTAACGCAACCGGACGCTCTAGAGTCTAGAAACAATCAACAAGAGAGAAAATTGGCTTCTAGAGTGACATGGACAGATTGTTTGCCTGTTGAAGCTTGCACATGTGGATTACCTCGAGGATAATCCCCCGAAATGTGGGGAAAATAAAGTAATTAAATGGTCTCTCTCTCTCTCTCTCTCTCTCTCTCTCTCTCTCAAATGACAAAATGATCTCTTTTGTGTATATATCATTATCCTAAGCAAATCCAGTTGATCATATTCAGTCATGGGTCCATTCATGTTGTCCAATCCAAATCAGCTGCAAAGCTAGGCTAAGCATCACGCGTCAAAGGCGTTTGGAATATTTCATCCAATGCGTGTAGTGTGTGGAAACATAGGAATTATAATGGTATTGGGCTGATTGATTGCTTGCACAAGGCTCATCTTGCCTCTTATACGTAGTAGATGCAGTGTCTTTTCAAAAAAGCTTTTTTTCTTTCTTTGTTTGATGGAAAAGCGTTTGCAGGTTATCAGTGGAGTGAGCCAGAATGACCTCACGAGTTTGTTTGATGAAAAATGTTCCATTTGTCTCGTATGTGGTCAAAAGGAACATGTAAATTCCTGCTTAAATTGGACCCTTTTCATGTACTAAATAAAATACATGCATTCGAAAACTTGCAATTCTCCTGTAGAGATCAGATAGAGACATCTCAGTGCAATCAAGCATCTTAGTGACAGGAATCTGCCGACGGGGCAGGCTGATGAGGGTATTGTTTGAGCCCATCATGTGGCCGTGGACTAGTTGGGCTTTGTTTGGGCCCACAACTGGTGTCAATGATCCCAAGATTTGACCTTCAGCTGCAAAAAGGAGACAGCTCAGAGCTCCATCATAGCGGCAATCTACGTTGCCATGAACTTCTGCACGGCTAAATGTTTTGCCCTTTCCCTACTCTCCCGTGCTCTAGCGTCAGCTTCAGAAACAAAATCTACTGCCAAGTAAACGTAACAAATGCACCTCAATTGATTAGGTTTTCTACGATGAAAAACAACCCATCCAAGTTTAAATTCTAAACTTGACATAAATGCATGCTCATATTTATGATTAGTTAATTTTTTTCAAAGGTAAACAATATACCTGTTAGTAGCGAGACATCCATAGTGGCATCGTCAATCTTTCAAACTAGTCTTTCGAAGGTGTTTATAAGAGTAAGAATATGCATATTTATTTATAAGGATGAGTATGCGTGCATTGTGAGCGGTTGCATTTATATTGTGTTTCTCATAAAAAGGAACAAAATTTACCCACATCCCAATGAGCGAGCGTGGTAACTTATCAATCTCAATATATATCGGACCAATCTTATGAAGATGCTAACTTAGGATGGGACATTTAAGAACCTAGGATGGGAGGTTCTTATATTTTGGGACGGAGGGAGTATTTATTAAGATAAGTGCGATTCGTTATGAACAATTGTATTTATACCATGTTTCTTACTAACTCCGTCCCAAAATAAGTGCAGTCATGGATATCCGTGCCCAACGTTTGATCGTCCGTCTTATTTGAAAAAAATTTGAAAATATTTAGTCATACATAGAGTACTATTCACGTTTTATCATCTAATAGCAATAAAAATACTAATCATAAAAAATTCAAATAAAACGAACAGTCAAACGTTGAACGTGAATAGTGCAAAACTGCACTTATTTTGGGACGGAGGGAATAAAAAATCTACTAACGTCCCAAGGAACGAGCGTAGACGGTGACAACTCGCACGTCATTAGTTGCAACCGTACATCATTCCCGTGCTACAGGGCGCCCCTTGATCAGTCGTGTCAGAACACTCTGCTGCAAACGGTCAAAAGAAGCAGGTTACCACCATGTCCACTAGTGATGGTTACCACCAAAATCTACCCAGTTGACGAACGCACAGACAGTGTCAGTCATCACAAGGCAACAAGATACTCAAACTGACCTTGCAAAAAGCTCAGTGATTTTTCAATCACTCGCTGCGGTCCTGCACAAGATCTGGAAATCTAGGCGTCGGAGAGTCCCCAACTGATCATGTGAGTGCATGAAAGCACTAAGCAGACAATGCTGTGCCACAGCAGTGGCTTGTACAATGCAGCAGTACAGCAGAATAGTTGATCAAATGAGTGCAATAGTGGATCAAATGAGTGATGCACTTTTACCGATAAACACTGAAGGAATATGATAGCGATAAGATAACAGATCCACTATATAGTGTCACCCATGAAAGAGTTGAAACCCTATAATCAGTTCCACAGTAAACTCCAACAAGTGCACGGATTTAGCAGCAAAGATCAAATAGGCTTTTCACTCTTAAGGCAAATATGAAGGGTAGAGCTATCAGATTAATATACAAGGCACGTCAGATCACTATTACATCACAAATATTGCATTGGCAAATAGTTCACTGCCAAAACCATAATGCCGGTTGTTGGGAGAAGACAACAACAATAAAACAAAACAAGAAAAAAAGTGCTGGTAAAGGCCGAAGATAAATAATACATAAAAGGAAGGCTTATTTTGTTCTTTGGAACTATGTATATACAAGATGGTGGCCTTGTTTGTAACCTGTCTAAGTAGGGAAATCAGCACAGACATGTGACAATGCTCAAAGCATTTTATCCCGTGATAATTATTATGAGGATTTAGATGGTTGGTACCTCCAATTTGCATGAATCCTTTCTGTTCGAAGTCTGCCAGGAAAACAAAACAATGCGATGTGTATGTATAATAAGCGTCAATACAAATACAGAGAATAAAAGAAACTAAAACTTGCAAACTATCAAAATAAGAGGGGAGATTTTTGCCTTTCGCCACGGACTTGTTACATCATCTCATACATGCCACTTGATTGGGTCAGCGCAACATGTAAGTGCAAATTCAGTGGCATAAATGAAAGTAAAAATGTGTTTTATGAATCCGAAAAAATCAGTTCTATACAATTATTAGCTTCTCAGCAAACAGAAAAATACCAGACATGGATCTATACAGATACAATACAACCATAAGAAACTAAGGACTGTTTTGGGCAAAACATGGTTGAAAACAAAGAAAATGTACTAGAATGGCTCAGGTTAACCCAAACTGTCAATTCCCAACAGTTACAAATGCCCACGGTTCTGGCAACATGTACATACTACCTCCGTCCCTCAGTACATGAACAAATGAGTAGAATCATTTAACATGTACTAACAAGAAATAGCTGCAACCGGTAACTTGCTGGGGAGCAAGGCCTCCTAGTATGACAGCCGATTGAACATATTACCAAGGAACCAAGGAGATGCCAAATGATCTCCAAGGGGCAGTCAAATCATCACAGCCACCAGTTCCAAATGCCTGTGTGGTTACAACCGTAAGAAACTAAGGACTGTTTTGAGTAAAACATGGTTGAAAACAAAGGAAATGTACTTGAATGGCTCAGATTAACAACTGTCAATTCCAAACAGTTACAAATGCCCTTGGTTCTGGCAACATGTAACTACTCCCTCCATCCCAGTGTACATGAACAAATGAGTAGAATCATTCATTATAGCATGTACTGACAAGAAATAGCTGCAACTGGTAACTTGCTGGGGAGCAAGGCCTCCTAGCATGACAGCTAATTGAACATATTACCAAGGAACCGAGAAGATGCCAAATGATCTCCAATGGGCAGCCAAATCATCATAGCCATTCAAGAAATAAAAAAATAACAAACAATGAAATATGCATCCACAGAAGTATGCTGTGAAAGTATGAAACAACAAAAAGAAAGATCACGCTAAAGCTAACTGAATAAACAGTTAACATTCCTTTATTAGTGTTACATTACTTAATTTTAGAAAAAAGAAACAATTAAGCTCCTATGAGCAAGTATTGTCATCACCGTGCAGTAAGCAAGTTAGACTACAAGTATTGCCCTGGTACCATAACATCCCCCCATTTATGATTTATTCATTCTGGGAAGACTTCGTGCTCATTAAAGTGCCTGC